CCTTACAGCGGGTGAACCAATAAAAATCTCCGCTACAAAAGCTAACCCTTTGTAAGCACCGGGTGCGGTGACAGGAGGGGCAAGAATTTTGGAATCAAAATATTGTGCTTTGTTAATGTGCACTAGAGGAAGATAGAGTGTTTTTGTTTTGGGTTCAGCATTTAACAAAAGGGGGAGGAAAGTGGGAATAAGAAAGATGATTAGGATTTTCATTTTGGAATGATCTTGGATTGATTAAGATGTGATTTATAAAACATGTAATACTAAACTTGTATACACAATAGGTGACCTTTTAATATGAGACGAAAGATTTGTGTAGTTGATCAAGAAAGTTACCTAGAAGAAGTGAGAAGAGAAAGTCTGTGATACCAATAAAGTACTTCATAGGTTAAATATAAGTTCACTTCATTTCATATGGAAGTAGGGCATAAATTGGTGTAATGGTTTAAGGCTAAAGAGGTATGAATTATATGAGAAGTGGTTTAGTTAGTAGAAATTCATATTGGTATGTATTAGTTCAATGTAGGAGTGAACTAATACATGTGTGTGTGTGCACCAATAAAGTATTAGTTCATCTAATTTCATATGAATATAGGGCATAAGTGGGTTTAATAGTGAGAGAGTAATGAAAGATAGAAGAAGTTGGCTAGTTAGTAGAAACTCATATTGGTACGTAACTAGTGTAAGAGACATGTAATGCACCAATAAAGAATTTAGTTAATCTCATTAGATAGGAAAGCAGGGCATATGTTGGTTTAGTGGTTAAAGAATAATGAAAGATGGTAGAAATTCATATTGCAATTTATAGGTTTAATGTAGGAGATGTGGAAGTGTGTGCACTTAATGGTTAAGTTGGTACATACAACACTAAGCTCATGAAGCACAAACCCAATTTCTCATATGCATAAAGCAATTGTCATATAGGTTTAGATAAGTTACTCATGAAATTGTTTAGTGCTGCTAATCATTATCTTAGGCGTACGATCAATACTCGGTTTTTAATTTCCACCACATGACCCAATGGTCAGTAGATATGAAGAAACATCTTAAATATGCATAAACCAAGCTATCGAGTGAGGCAAACGATAAAGGTGTGTGTACCGAGAAGATTTGAAAGAAGGAAGATGCAAACATAATCAAAGAAGGAGATACAAAAGAGTGATCCAAAGAGGCTTAATGAGACTCGATTCTACTTGCAGTTAAAGCCCTCAAACAAGTCGAAGGTTCCATTTATTTATTTAAATCCTAGTCAACTTCATCTCTCAAAAGTCAAAACTCAGGAAGGCCTAAAACGCTAAGCTTCGTTTCAACACGTAGAGTGGTAAATGCACCCACCTATTAGCCATTTTTATTTCATGTACGTAGAATCACACAAGTAAAAGACTAATGTTCCAAGATGTTCTTCTGAGAAAAACCCAACAAACACACAGAGGGAGACTTTGTTGCAATTCAACGGTTCCACATGGCTGGAGAAGATCGTAACTCCATGAGTCGATTTGGTCTGAACAGTTTTGGCATGGCGAATTAGAGATGTTCTGAGTTGATATGACTTGACTGTAATTGTTGAGTTTAAAGCGAGGGTTAGTCGGTTATATCAGCTGGTCTTTTTCCAAGAGACTAGTTTGCATACAAACCCGTAAGACTTTTCACGATAGTTTTGACTTCAATACAAGTTCTAACTAGATGTCACAATCACCTCTATAGAATTCGGATTAAAAGGGTTTTGATATATTTTTACTTCAATCAAGTTCTACTGGATCAAGTTGTGGCATTGTTGACTTTTGTTGCAAATATTACTTAAAAGCTGACCAGTCTACAAAAGGTTTGTTTCACATATAAACTTTACGATATTGATCTCGTTTTTAAAATTGTTGTGGTGTTTCTTAATTAGTATTTGGTTTGTGTTTTAACGACATTATACTAATTCCAAGGACTTTAGAGATATTTGGAAATGATAAATAAAAAAAGTTCTGACGTTAAAGCCTTTGCGAATGGGGTTATCATTCGTAATCATGTTTCTCAACTTCTATCAAGTATCTAGCGTTAAAGATGTGAACAATAGGTAACATTCACAAAGATTTACAAAGATAGAAAAGAAAAAAGGGATGAAACCTGTAACCTAGTCTTGAAAAATCTCGAAACCTAATTTTTCCCACAACTTGTAAATTCTCGAGACATAAAAAGCACATGATCGGTTACAAAGAAATCTCAGAAAGAGTGTCAACAAGAAATAAATTTACGATTAAGCCAAACGACGAGTGCTGAACACATGATCGCTAAAGCCGTAATAGTAATCGCCCAGCCTTTCCAATCAAGAGAACCCCCATGGTCTCCACAGTGTGGTGTGAAGATAAAGGGGGATTCCACAACATGTATCGCCATCTTCGAATCAACATATAGATCGTGCTCTACAATCTTCACACCATCTAAAAAGAATCCGATAGAGGAGTTTAGGACTCGGATGGAGTGTCCAGCGAAGAGAGTCGGAAGGCAAGAACCATCAACCTTGGAGAGGAGAGCATCGAAGTCCAACTTCTCCGGGACAACATGAAGAGCCGCCTCTCTTCGATCGTGCACTGTGGTGGGCCTGGTGGCTGATCTAGGAATGAACAGCGTTGAGGAGAGAACTTCTCCCCGGAGTGGAGAATTCGTCGAGATGAAGGCAGCTGACCAGTCGACGTAAGGAGTGTGCGCTAAAGTGTCAATCACATCGCTCGCCGTCTCCTCCACTGAGCGAGCGGTAACGCCGGCGGTCAGAAAGATAGCCGCGAGCGCGAGGAGAAGGTGTACTCCGTTGCGAGTCATGATTAAGAGAGAGAGAGAGAGGTTTCTTGTTTCTTTCTTGTTTTGTTTCCTTCTCGAGAAAAAGAGAGAGAGATTTTGTTCTTGAAAATAGAGAGCGACTTAAAGTTGAAAAATGAGAATTAGATACCCTAGACCGTTTATTTATATTGTTCTTTTTATTTATCGGTTAACTTCACGTTCCTCAAAAATGTTATTAAAACATATAAATTACTACTAGCTACTACTCTATATAATTCAAACATCGGAACTCACCAAATAATTAAACTTCTCCGTTCCATCAAAATTTTTCAGCCAATCATAAAACTCTTAAGTAATTATTTGTATTTCACAGTCTTTTAAAATGAAATTTCCAATATAACCTGTCTTTAAGTTATTAAAGAAACATCATTGGGCAGTGCAACGCCACAAACTGACATGCATACATGATACGTAAACCTTTATTTTGATTTCTTTGCTTCCACGGCAAACGTTTATTTCTTTATGAGCATAATGATTTGAAAAATGGATAGACTCGTGTATATCATTGTGAGTAACAAATTGATGATATTAATGCTTAGTCATTTCATTGTCTTTTCACGCCAAGTAATATTATATTGTTTTAGTTAAAAATTTAGCACTTTTTATATGTTATTCTAACACATATTGCGTATAAAATAATGGCACTTCAACCATCCCCACACCCACATCACAAGATATATAACCTTTTATCTCCTATACAGTTTCGCCATGGGAGGATTTCACAAGTGCTATCGTTTCTCCATTTCCCTCAATAATAGTAAATTTCATAAATAGAAACCGCATTGAAAACCCCCATAGCCCTATATAACATACATAGGCCTCAAGCCTCCTCGGTACACTTTCTACATAAGAAAAAGCAAAAGACACATAATTGAGTTCATCGTTACGGGTGTTCACTAATTATTCTTGAACCTAATCATCACTTTTATCAATAAAAGGATATAGATATAATTAATGCATGTAATTAGTTTACCTCTTTATTAATAAATGGAATCATCTGGTTCAAAGACAACTAATTGGCTGAAATTGGAGGCAACGCTTCATGTGTATATAGGTAATTTTTCCACATTCGAACTTAATGTGTTCCCTTTTTACCAAAGGTTACAATTTTCCTTACAAATATAATTTACAGACAGTTATATAAATAATAAAATTAAATTTGAAATATATGCAAATCAAAACATCTTTTTTTTTGGGGACAAATATCAACAGCTTAATTAAACAAACCAAAAAAACTTGAAATATCCAAGTAAAAAATTAATCGTCGCCTGAGAGATTCGAACTCTCGCGGGGAAACCCCATGTACTTAGCAGGCACACGCCTTAACCACTCGGCCAAAGCGACTTCGTTGTCCATTATACTATTTAAATATATATATATATATATACATTTATTTACAACTTTTGATGCATCTATCGTTATTATATCTTTTCTTTATCCAACTATTATTATGAAAGAAAATGGGGACTATAAAATATTCAAATATATAAAAGTGGCCAACTTTACTTTATAGTATCTTTACAAACACATAAAATATGTGGGTATTTTCTCAAAAAAGCTTGTTGAAGCAAATGAAAAATATGTTTGGTAGATGTGAATAGTTATGGACTTGTTTCCACTTTTAAAGGAAATTGGGCCCATTGTTACTTATCTACATCATTATACAATGCATTGGACATGTACATTGATGATTGATACCACATACGTGAATACAGTATTTATTTATTATAAACCTATGGGAAATTACATGTATTCAAAATTCGTCGTCATACGTTTCTCACCTCTCTCTCAACTCTCAAGTCTCAAGGTTGTTTGTGATCCGCAATTGAATGTACACTTATTTAAACGTAATCCACACATACACTACATAGTTACATATTTCGATTTCGATTGTTTTTTAAACTAAACATCAAAATTATTATTCATACAATATGACTTGATTATTTGATTCTAACTATATGGTTATGTCGTTGGTAAATATGTATGGTTATATATTGTTTGTAGTTTTTTTTTTTTTTAAAAAAGAAGAAAATAGATGTATATATGCACAAGATACACATGGACAAAATCGAAACACTTTTTATTATATACTTTTACTAAATAAATAATAAATAATGTTTGACAAAAAAAAATAAAAATAAAAATAATAAATAATTAATGAGAAGGGAAAAGGAAATGGTCCGTACTAACTAGTCCGAACCCGAAGAAGCCCCAATCGCTGCTGCAAACTGCAACTCTCCAGGAGCCACCACGCCGCTGACTCTCTAGGGTTTTTCTCTTCTCATCTTCTCTCTCTCAGGTTTCATCTTCTTCTCTTTGTCTCTGTCTCTCGATTCTGATTTCGGCTTTTTTTTGTTTAGCTCTTTTATTCGGCTTTATTGTGTGATTGGAAATTAAAATCTAATTTTTGAGCTGATTTGGCACTGTTGCTCTCTAGTTTTAGGCTGTTGGGTTTGTCTTGATTATGCTTTCGATCTTGAAAGTTTGGAAATTTGGAGTGATTTCTTGATTTAAGATTAGTTAATTTGTTTGTCTTTTTTTTTCTTGAAGCTCGTTTTGCTGGCAGATCCTGCATAATTGTCTTTTTATTACTAGATCTTATGTTATCTCTCTCTGTCTCCTCCGATTCTTCTGGTTTCTGGATTTTTTATTTTTTATTTTTATAAGCTGAGATGGAAGTGTGAGTGTGATGATTGCTTTATTTCCATTTTAGTTTAGACTTCAAATTGGAAATAATGGAATGGTTTTGTTTTAAGCTGAGATAGAAGTGTGAGTGTGATGATGATTGCTTTTTGCCGAAGCTAAATTTTTTAGAAATGGTCGTTTCTGTTGTTACAGAACTCACAAGGTACTGGTAGGAATTGACAAGGAGCAGTTCTGGGATTTCATTGGTTTTGTTTCTAAGGTACATTCCGAGTCCCATGTTTCTCAGAGTAGTTGTTCTGGTATCTTTGAGATATGTTAGGATTTTATCTAAGCGAGATTGTGATGTTTGTTACTGTGTTGCTAGTTGAGTAGATGTGATTGCCAAAAAGATTAGGTTTGCTTCCACAGCCATTTATGATTCTTCAAGTTCCTAACTTTCAGTTCAGTTCTTGTATTTAGAACTCGTTTGTTAGCTTATACGATTGTGCTTGTGATGTATATTTCTCAGATGATATTCAAGATTGTTGAGGATATCCTGAAGATCCATTGAGCTGCTCAGAGTTACTTTAAAGTTTGACACAAAAGAAAAATGGACGATGATAATGGGCTCGAGCTCAGCTTGGGTCTTTCTTGTGGAGGATCGTCAGGAAAAGCTAAGGGTAACAATGCTAATAATGTTGGAAGCTCCTCGGAGAATCACAGGGCTGAAGGAGGTGATCGAAGTGCTAAAGTGATTGATGACTTCAAGAACTTCCTGCATCCTACTTCTCAAAGACCAGCTGAGCCGAGTTCTGGCTCTCAGAGAAGCGATTCGGGTCAACAGCCTCAGCAGAATTTCTTTAATGACCTCTCCAAAGCTCCTACCGCTGACGCTGAAGCTTCCACGAAATCCTTGTGGGTGGAGGATGAGACACGCAAAGATGCAGGAAACAAAAGAAAGTTTGGGTTCCCGGTGACTAATGACGAAAAGAAGAAGGAGAAGGACTCGTCACATGTTGATATGCATGAGAAGAAGACAAAAGCATCCCATGTTTCAACCGCAACAGATGAAGGATCAACAGCTGAAAACGAAGATGTAGCAGAATCTGAAGTAGGTGGCGGTTCTTCCAACCACACAAAGGAGGTGGTACGTCCTCCTGCTGATACAAACGTTGTGGACAACTTAATTGGTCAAAGGAGGAGCAGCCATGGCGGATCTGGTACCGAAGAGTTTACAATGCGCAACATGAGTTACACCGTACCTTTCACAGTTCATCCGCAGAATGTTGTCACTAGTATGCCTTATTCTTTACCGGCAAAAGAGTCTGGACAACATGCTGCAACGACAAGTGTATTGCAGCCTAATGCTAATGCTGGAAATATTCCAATTATGTTTGGATACTCACCGGTCCAGCTCCCTATGCTGGATAAGGATGGTTCAGGCGGGATTGTCGCGCTCTCTCAATCCCCATTTGCCGGAAGAGGTCCATCAAGCTCGGGTGAGTAAAACTTACCCTTAAAAAGGGCATAAAATCCTTACTACAAAAATAACGATTATTTTTTGTCTCCCAAAAAGCTACTGCCAAAGGCGAGGGAAAACAGCCTGTAGCAGAAGAAGGTTCGTCTGAGGATGCATCAGAACGGCCAACAGGAGATAATAACAACAACAATACTGCATTCTCTTTCGATTTTTCGGCCATAAAACCAGGAATGGCAGCGGATGTGAAGTTTGGAGGATCCGGAGCACGTCCAAACCTACCATGGGTCTCAACCACTGGTTCAGGCCCTCACGGCCGGACAATCTCGGGGGTCACATACCGGTACAACGCAAACCAGATCAAAATCGTATGCGCTTGCCATGGGTCGCACATGTCGCCAGAGGAGTTTGTCCGGCATGCAAGCGAGGAGTATGTTAGCCCAGAATCATCCGTGGGAATGACTGCCGCGTCAGCTCACACCTGAAAGGTCATCAACCGGAAAAAGATGTCTGCAATCTAGTAAACGTAAGGAAGGATTTGTAATGAGTAATCTTTTTGGAATATACGCTTTATTATGCTTACTACTCTCTCTCTCTCTCTCGCTCGGATCAAACTCTCAAGCCAAAAATTTTATCGGGGCTTTTGTGCTATGTTGTTGTTGTTGTAATGTTTCTTTGTTCTTCATGTCAACCTTGTGTAAGCCTCTCTTTCGTTTCCTTTTTGTTTTTTTGGTTGAAAGGAAAATTATATATAACCACAACATTATCAGTATAATTTATTCTTTGTCACTGTAACAATGTGTTTTTTCACTTCTCAGTCATCATAAACCCGCAATACGAATTACTTCATTCATTGAAACAAATCTAAGATGATTGGTTTTGTGAAAAATAATTGAAAGACTAAAATAGTAATGCATCATCGAAGCCATCATCACTCAATCATGTAAAATGCAACTTTGATTTTTTTTTTTTTTTTTTTGTTTGTGCAGCTGGTATTTGACTTTCCGGTTTTAGTTTTTATAAACAAAAAATTAACCATCATGAAACCATAACAAGGTGGTTCATGGACCATGCATGGTTGAATGATTTATCTATAAAGTTGGAAACCCATGGACCATGGTTTGAATCTTCCTATTGCAAATGCAAACTAACGGGTTATAAGAAAATAAAGAACAATGATTGAGAAACTCAAAACAAAGGCTACTTGTTTTAAAGATTAATCAAACCAAAACTACACGAATGAACAATCTTGAAATGTATAATACTGATATTTGATATTGGTTTTTCTGAAACAGTTAAAGATGAAGAGATTCTTTTTTTTTTTTTTAATGTTTGATATATAGCAAAATCTAAATCATATAACAAAAAAAAATACATTGAACCAAATTGAAAAGAGATTTGGTTTTATTTTGTACCTTTTTTATATTGTTGGTTGACACACAAAAAAAAAAAAAAAACATACAAAAAATATTCCAAATTTGTGATGCAAGTTTCAAATAAGTTCCCAATCAGTATAAAAAATATAGAGTAGTCCTAAATATCATCAAAAAATGAGGTATGAGAATAACAGCCCACCGAATGATTAAATTGTTTTAAATTTCATAAAAGACCAATAATATTAAAAAGCAATAACATACAAAAATGTTGTCACTTAGGTGACGTTATTACATATTAATTTTATAATCTACATAAAATAAATTATAAAATCACTGTCTCCTCACATAATCTCATTTTTCTCCATTTTCATTAATATTTCGAAATCAAGAAACAAAGTTTTCTCACGGAATCGAAGATCTTCTTCATCTCCTTCCGATGTATCAGGTCTACTTCTTCTTCTTTCTTCCACTCTTCCACAGTTATAATTATGCCTTTGCTCAACCTCCTCCTCCGTTCAGAAACGACGACCTCGCCGCCAATTTCGAGCCGAGTTTAGCCGTCGTCACCGGAGTTCTCGCCATCATGTTCGCTCTCACTTTCGTCCTCCTCGTCTACGCTAAGTGCTGCCACATCGATCTCCGGTCAGGTTCCGGCGACAGGAGAAGACATGATCGTCGGCTTCATCAGGGAATATTCTTTAACCGGTCAACGGCCTCATCGGATCGATTCTCCGGTTTAGACAAAACAGCGATCGAGTCACTTCCTCTGTTTAGGTTCTCTGCTTTGAAAGGATCAAAACAAGGGCTTGAGTGTTCTGTTTGTTTGTCTAAATTCGAAAGTGTTGAGATTCTTAGATTGCTGCCTAAATGTAGACACGCTTTCCACATCGGATGTATCGATCAGTGGCTTGAGCAACACGCGACGTGTCCTCTTTGCAGAGATAGAGTCTCGATGGAAGAAGATTCCTCTGTTTTCACTTACGGGAACAGTTTCAGGTTCTTGAATCAGTCTGAGATTAGAGAAGATTCGAGCTTGGAGCTTTACATCGAGAGAGAAGAAGAAGAAGAGAGAAGACAAAGAGAAGAACTTGGTGGGTCGTCTAGATTTAGCATAGGAGGGAGTTTTCGGAAGATTCTGAAATTAGGTAATAAAGAGAAAACTTTGCTTGATCAACAAGTGAACGATAAAGATGAGAAGAAGCTGATGCATAAGTTCAATCATAGGATCGTCGTGTCAGATGTTGTATTTAAGAATCGTTGGAGCAACGTGAGTTCATCTGATTTGATGTTTTTGAATTCGGAGATGGTAAACTCAATATCCAGCGAGAGATTCACGTCGATAGATCGAGTGAAGAGGAAAGGGGATGAAGAGGATCAGATAGGTATCTTGGGAATCAAGGAAGAGATGGAAGCAAAGAGAATGTTGGAGAACAAGCTCACTTCGTTGAAAACTATGTTGTTGTCGGAAAATGGAGACTCTAGTTCGAAATCTAGAAGCGCTATGATCGAGCCAGGAAGAAGATCAGTCTCTGAGATCACTGCGGTTCCTAGACTAAGCATTGGGGTTCATGAAGATTGCAGCGGTTCATCCGCAGCGACTGCGTCTGCGTTACAAAACGGAGGAAATGAGACAGAAGAGAGAAGAAGGCGTTTGTGGCTGCCGATCGCTAGAAGAACAGCTCAATGGTTTGCTAACAGAGAAAAAAGAAATCAAATTAACACAACACACTTCCATGTATAGTTTCTTGATTTTTCTTCAAGAATTGCTATTCTTTGTCACATTCAATTTTTCTTTAGCTTATTTTTGTTATTAATTAGAAAAATTAAAGACATTTACGCAATAATTAGTAGTTTTGATTCAGGTTATGTTTAGAAATTCAATAAAAGTAATACTCCATGTTAGTTAGAGAGATCAAAAGAAGATGTTTTCTCTTTTGTAAATAAGATGGATATATATATATAAAAACAAAGGTTTGACTTCATAATACAATATCAATTGGTTGAATTATTGCTGGATTTTTTTTTTAAAGCACAATAATGGTTTTGAATAAGTAGAACATGTCAGCTTACCTGGTTACAGAAGCAACCACTCCCATTTTTTTTTCAGAATAAAAATGAACAGCCCTTGGTTTTGTCTTTTGATAATTGTATTCTTTGGTTTGGAATTTGGACTAACATTACTAAAACATGTATTTGATTACAAAAATACATATTGGTAGGTCAACTAACTACTAACTATGCTATTTTAATTCCATAACAAACTAACTCAGCAGTACTACATATGCAAATTTGTTTATTAATAAATATATCAATTTGAGAAATTAAATATGTTCAAGAAAACTGAATCCAGGTTTTATATAAGCAAAATTCATTTGTTTCCTACGTGAAAGTCCTCATAACAGCTAATCCCATTTTGAAGCACTCTTCTTTTTTACTTATATAATTATATTTCTTTCAGTTGCTAATTATAATATTATATCACCAATCATATATGAATGGGCACATTCATGCTATATATAAGTCCTTAAAATTAAGTTGACACCAGGATAGAACCTGGGATGAGGATGCTTTAGAGTAAGAGTGCTGCTCCATGGTGGAACCTTTCTAAGTTTTTATGATATTCTTCATTATTGACTATGTGTTTGATATCAAACACGAGATCTTTATAATATAAACGGAACAACTTTAGAGAAGGCATCATAAATCGTAATACGAAATAGGTAAATGGTGCCAAAGATTGTTGTTATGTAAAAAGGAAGTCATTGCATCATTACATCTCATACTGGTCCAACTTATGACGTTTATGAATACGCACACGCTAATTTACATGTTGTTTTAATTTAAAAACTAGTGATGCACCCGCACGTAAGTGCGGGGTTATTTTTACAAAATTACGATTTTTCAAGTATATGCTATTTTGGTAAAATTTTGTTATATGAGTTTATTTGATAAACTATATACATATAGTTGTAAAATATAGATATTGTATTACATAATACAATTTTAAAATTATTTAAATGAAAATGATAAGTGATATTACGTGTTTATTTTTTAAACTAATCAAAACATTTCTAACTAATGCTTAGACATGTTAAATCGGATTTAGGTTTGGCTTTACTTTGAATTGTTTTATGTGTATTTTATAATGGAAAACCCGTCATGTCCCTTTCCGTCTCCTCCCGACCCATCCCGTCCTACCCCGCCCCGTCCTGTCCCGTCCCGTCTTCTATTTGTCATAAAATCTCTATCCCATAATCGTTTCTTTTTAAAACATAATCATTTGGCAATATTTATTATAAGAAACTTGGTAAAAGATTTAGACGGGATACCCGTATTCCTCGTTTAAATATTTATTTTTATCAAACTAAAAAAAATCTAATTATCAATCTAAGTCACATGCTCCCACCACTTTCATTCACAAGGCACTGTCTGTAATCCTAGCATACACAATCCTTCTTCGATTTTTAATTTTATTGATCTTTCAGTTTCATCTTTATTTCTCGTTACTTTCTTCAATTCAAAGATTCATGTTTTAGCCTTTTTGTTTTCTAAAGATTTAGGTATTTCTATTTTTTTCATACATGGATTTATTGTAGTTTTGTTATCCGAAGTATACGTTATCTTCTTGTACTCATCATTTCATGTCTAAATATTTGAAATAAATAGAAAAGTGGAAATTAAATTTAGCAATTTAAATTACATGTCCCCGTATCGTACTCGTAGTTTTATATTTGAAAGTTGAAAGTGAATTTAACTTTATGACCCTGTCTCATAACAATTATATCTAATCATGTTTTGTTTTTTATGAGAAATAATTCAGATAATGTTTGTTTTCAAATTATATGTTCCCGTCTCATATCCATTCCTATAAGTTTTTTTTTAATAAATAACACCATTTACGTGTAACTAAATATAATTTTAATATATGTAAAATTTCATATAATCGTCCAAAGTAGAGATTTATACGTCCCAAAGTTGAATTTTGTTCAATATTTTGAGATTTTGAGAATTAAATATAACTACCAATTTTTTTTATTTCAACCGATTATCCAAAACTTATATATCATATTTGTCAAGGATAGTTTAAAATTGTACCTAGATAATGTTTGTAGATATTTATTTATTATATCATTTATATCAAACCAATTTGACATTTTACTTGTTTTCAATTAGATTAAATCATAAAAATATAATCCATTTATTATTTAAAAATTGGTAATAAGTCGTTAAAATCATTTAAATGTGATATATCCACTTGTTATTTAGTTTTAATCTTAATAGAAATTCTATATGTTTATAATCTCAAAATGGATTTTATGATTAATAAAACAATTATTTAATATTTGATAATAGTAATGATATGCAAATTGCCATGGATGAAGATTTATTTTGTTAAGATTATGTGAAATTAATAAGAAAAAAGAAGTTTAGAATAATCATTAACTAACTGTTTGACCAAATAAAAAATCATTAACTAATTGAATTAATGATAAATTTTGTAGATATCTTTTGTGCTACAATTGCTAGATTGCTTTTTGAATATGAATATTTTTTTATGTGAAAATAAGAAATTTATGTGATCTAGAATGTTTATTCGCATGATTTTAGCAAACAAATATTTAATTATTGATTTATTTAAATTTTATTTATATTTTAAAATTATATAATTTTTAAAATTTGATGATATGATCAGTTATGTATATATATACTATGTAGAATTTGATTAGTTGATTATTTCATATGCTAACATATTTTTTTATCTTTTTATTTTTCTAAAAAATGTTATTTTTGTTTTTTAGATATATGATGATTTTGTTTTATTAGATTTCATTCTATATAAATTATTAATTTCGAAAGTATATTAAAATATTAAATTAATATTAAATATGTTTATGTATATTCAAAATAGATATGTTTACATATATTTAATTTGGAATTTAATTGTCCACTTTTTATGGTAAAAGATTATTATGATTTCCATAAATATATATATTTTTTGTTTTTTTTTTTTGCTGTCATTAATTCTGTTTGGCAACTGAAATATATTTCATGAAATTGTTTTTAAAAATTGGGGATGTTTGGCTTCAAGTTGTACTTCCCAATTAATAGTATAGATTTGAAATTAACCAAAACTATTTTTATATTATTGGTGTATTAGGTCCATTATCGACCGGTTTTATAAGACACGTCTCTTTTTATATAGTAGTGTTCTATCTCCCACTCACTAGAGTTGGTAAAAATGATTTAATATCTTGGTTCAAATTTGTAACTTAAAATATATAATTTTGAGGATATATAAAACAAGAAAATGAATATTTCAATACAAATTTTAAAGAGTATATAACAATACTGAACATAGTTAAAAGAACTATAACACAACCTTGCTTTTACTCCTATGCCCTAAGGTATTGTTACCATTTTCCATCACAGCTTCAGCATACTACACGCCTTGGATGATGATGATGATGATGATGATGATGATGATGAGAGTGCAACAAATCGAGCTTATGATACTGTAGAAACATTTGAGGTTGTAACCAATACGAGAATCGACCTTTTTGACTGGCTTCATGAGCTGTCAAACATTTGTTTATTTTTAAGATTCAGTCATTATCTCTGAGTTATCAAAACCCATGTTGACTCTCAAAATCTTTCCACATAAACCTATGGGAAATAGCAAGAATCAAAACATGGGCGGCTGTGAAAGTAACCTGTGCACTGTTGTTAACTTGTGAAGCCTTTGAAGACATCTCAGCTCAAGCTTGTCTCTGGATTTCTGCAAAGAATGTTGCTATCCATTAACATGTATACATATAACAAGCTGCAACACAAGGTTATTGATCACACATAGCACATAGTAACTAAAAAAAATGATATATATGGATCACATAACATGATTACACATCTGGTGCAAGAATTATACAAAGGTTGGGAAAATCTTGAATGAAAAGCAAACATACACTTGATGCCTTGTGTGTGTAAACACAAATGCTTCAGCCAACGCCTTCTTGTTCACACACTTCAGAGAATATACATACAAAGCATTGCACTTTTCTTCCAGCCAAAGGTGGAGATACAAAGGTGTTAGTGACACCAACTTCTGATTTCTGCTCTAGTTGCAGAGGTGCAATAAGGGCATGACTCACATTAATAGTGCATAATCTCACTCACCATTTCAGCCTAAAGCTACATTTTCTTCGCATCATTTCTCTGGAGACATGAAAGAGGAAGTCCAGCCACCCGTTCTATTCCCACTTACATACCCAGAATTTGAAGTTTCGGGTCCGACATTTCTTTTTGAGGTACCGGCAGGAGATAATGAAGAAGATGGCATGTTCATCTGCAATGGGTTATCAGCAAGATTATGGTCATGAACACTTTTATCTCAAAGATCAAATGATCAATAACATGTTTGCATAATCTATCTGTTCATGACAACTGGCAATACAAAACGGCTAAATTTTGTTTTCAGAGAATCATGACGAATTATAAGAGCAACACAATGCAGGTATGACATGCTAAGGCTAAGACAAGCCAAGAGTTGCAAAACAAAACAGTTATTCGGAAGAGGCAAATGCAGAAATGCGTACATTCTTGTGGATGGGATCAAAAGCCAGATTTCTTCCTGTAGCAGTATTATTATTTATCTGGGGGCTTGGACCAATGGCATTAGTGGACCTGACGCGTTCAGAGGCTTCGGCTTCATAAGAAATATTTGGTCCTCCTGCCAAGCAGAGTGTCAAGAAAATAGAGACTTTAAATACAAAATTGTAAAAACAAACCAAAGAAGCTTACCCCGATGGTTTATTGTGTCCACTGGCATTGCACGAGCGCTGCTAGACCCAGGAACTGCCTGCAGTACAAATGATATATATTTTTTAGAAAATAATATGAAAGGTAACTGCAGGAAACTTATCATTAAGGAACCTTCTTTTCAAGTGAAAAAAATAAGCATATACTTAAGATAGATAAAAACAGCTGACAATCGATACCTGAGACTGATTTCTAGATTTCTGTGCTTGTTGATACTTTATTATAGTCCAGTCAAATATATAGTCGAATTCATATCCTGCAAAAGAAAACGTTTAACTGAGTAAACTGATGGCAGTATCCCATCAGCTCAGTAAATAAAAAGATGATGAGGACAAGTATTTTCCAAAGTACCTTCCCGCGAAAATAAGTCACGAAAGAGTCGCTTCAAGAATCCATAATCAGGGCGCTGATCAAATGTCAGTGTGTGGCAGTAATGGAAATATGAAGCAAACTCCACAGGGTGACTTTTGCATAAAACCTGCAACAGACAAGATATGGATATTTAATAGAAAGAGGATTAACAAAAACAAATAAACTGATGACACAGGGAAACAGACCTCAATAGGAGTTGATATCTTCTTCTCACAGATTTTATCATATTTTTGCTTCTTGTCAACAGCCTTAAGACCCTGCCATGGAAGACTAGAAAAGGAGGTTCATGACAATAGGAACAAAAAAAACAATTGGGTAAATCTCTAAATGAAAGGAATATCGATACCCTGCAAAAACACAACGTTAGCTAGTTTCTTGTAAGTCAAAAAGCCAACACACCTTCCTCTAAGGAAATAAAGAAGCACATATCCCAACGATTCTAGGTCATCCCGTCGACTTTGCTCTGTGGAAAAGAAACACAAAATAAATGAGACAATGCGATTATACTTTACAAACGGAGAAAAACTGACAGCACCTTACCTATTCCAAGATGTGTATTGCAACTTGCATATCGTGCAGTTCCTGTTAAATTCTTGTTTTCCCTGAATAGTCGAATAAAGGCACTAAATAATTTACCATCTGCAGATGGAACACAGGATAGAAACAATATCATGAAGCATAGCCACAAATACCTGTAAGGGATGTGGCGGTTGGTGTTGGCATCACGATATCTTTTGGCAAGTCCAAAGTCTATTAGATAAACCTGATAACAGAAACTTATCCATCATACGATCCCTTTTCTTTCATTACAATGAAGACAAGAAATTGCAGAGCTATACCTGATTTGCTTTCCGACCAAGGCCCATGAGGAAGTTATCGGGTTTTATGTCTCTATGCAGATATCCTTTGGAATGTACATATTCTATTCTTGTTAGCTGTAACAGAAGGATAAATTAGTTTGGAGAAATGATTAGTACGTAAATAGCATCAACAACAAGACTTGACCCTAAGAAAATCCATACCATTTGGTCAGCCAACAACAAAACCGTCTTTGGTGAAAATTTCCTCCCACAATAGACGAACAGATCTTCGAGACTTGGCCCTAGCAAATCCATCACTAAAGCATTCTCTGTTCCATCCACTCCAAACCATTTTATGCGCGGAATACCACCTGCAGACCATAAAGTCAAACCCAAAATTAGCTCTGCTGATAATCAATCAATCCATCCAATGTCCACAACGCAACCAAAAAACTACAGAATGAGAAAGGGTAGGAAACAGAAGCATACTTCCTCCTTCAAGAATCCTATATAGCTTAGCTTCATAAAGAAGTTGAGGATGCTTTGTTTTACTGTTCTCCTGCAATACAAAACGATTGAATTAAGCACAGTTGTTAGCTTGAAGAAATCACTGCAGCTGATAAGCACCATTCAAAGGAGCTTGAAAGCTTGCTTCCCTGATCATTTCAGAGAATATCAATTCAGAAAATATCAATTCAGGGATTATCATTTCAAAGAACCAAAAGAAAATGATGAAAGGAGATTAAAACAGAGCAGATCTCAAATCGAATTCAATTTCTCCAGAGTCTCATAGCTATCGAATTGAAACTTACGATCTTAACAGCAACGATCTCGAAAGTATCGACGTGCGTAGCTGCGCGAAAACAACAAACATGAAAAAAAGACGTAATAATTATTCAAATCAAACAGAAAAAAAAAAACTCGAGAAAACAAAAGGAGCGAGGAGAAAACACAAGCACACACCAAGAAATATCTCGCCGAAAGAACCACCGCCGATCTTCCTTCCGAGCTTGTACTTGCCGCCGATGATACGTTCCATGGCAGCTCGGATCAAAACCGAATCTGGATCATGCGCAGAAGATAGAGATAAGGATTTTTAGGGTTTTTTTTTTTAATAATTAAATTAAAATTTGCGACAACAACATACAGTTTTATTATTATTTTTGTTTGACTGCCCCGGGCTTGAGCCATATTAGTGATTCTTTTATAAAAATATATAAAATTTGTACACCTAACCACTGCACCATTACGGGTCCGCCAACCTTCGGATGCATATCATAAAACGAGGGCATTGACGTAATTTCGCATTGCCATGATGGTACGTTTTGTTGATTTCCTTCCTTTTATGAAGGTTCCAAAATCTTAGCTAGCCAAAATTCTAATCCTCTTGTTTCACCAGATAAGTCAAATCTGCTGTATCATTCCAAAGTGTGTGTACATTTCAATATTTGATTCGGTGACTTTTTACTCGATTTTTCTGTTAACAAATGTGATTACGAAATACATATTTTGGATCATGTCAAAAGAAAATTCATGTCTCGAAGAATTCAACAACACCATCTTTGTAAGATGATTTTGAAATATTAAAAATGTTTAGATTTTGTATAGAATTTTTTTCTTTTTTTTTGTTCATTGCACAAAATCAAATAAGAAAAATCAAACACAGAATCCAATACAATCGATTTGGAAATTCAGAGAGAAAAGAAAAAAAAAAGGGAGAGGCAATTTACTACAGTTGTTTCTCCAAGTAGCATACCGGAACCAAACATCTTTAAACCTGTTAGAATCTTGGCATTTTGCAATAACCAGTTAAGAAACCATCAGCACTTCGCGTTAGCTGCGGACATAAATGATGGTGAAGTCCACCATTTAATCGTTGAGTATGCGCATCGCTTGATACTGACCTGTCCCTGCCACTAGCAAACTCTTGACTGAGCCTTTGAAGACATCTCTGCTCATGCTTGTCTCTTGATTTTCTGCAAAGAATGTTGATCAAGCAACAAACCAAGTTATGCCCCCAACTCAGGGAACTACAAAGGAATACGAACAGAGTAAGTTAAAACAGAACTGGCGAGAATGAATCAAAAGAACCAAATTACACGTCCGGTTGCAAACTTTTTATACAAAGGTGAAGTCAGTATTTGGGGGAATAGTAAACATAAACGTCATGCCTTTGTGTGAAACAGTAAGCTGTTCATGGAAAAGCTCCATTCAGATCTTCAACCTCGTCTAGAGCTTCCCCACTGCAGAAATCTCAGTAGAATAAAAACTACAATTTTTTTTTTGCATTATTTCCCAGGAAATGATGAAGTCCAGCCATCGGTTCTATTCCCATTCCCATACCCCGATTTTGAGGTTTCGGGTCCAACGTTTCTTTTTGAGGTACCCGCAGGAGATAATGAAGTTGGTGGCTTGTTCATCTGCAATGGGTTTTCAGCAAAATAATGGTCAAGGGAAATCTTTGTGAAGATCAGTATCATGTTTCAATAATCTAATAGTATGAATAGCTTATATCACATTAAATAGCTCATTAATGACAATTGACCGTGCAAAACAGCTAAAAGCTTTTATCAGAGAACTATGAAGAAGTCTGAAACAACACAGATGCAGGTATGAGATGCTAACATAAAGCGATAGTTTCAGAATACAACATTTATTTGGAAGAGGCAAATGCATAACTACGTACATTCTTGTGCACCGGTTGATCAAAATCCTGACTCCTCCCTGTAGCAGTATTACTGTGTATATGTGCACTTGGGCCAATGGCATTAGCTGGTCTGACACGGTCAGAGACTTTGACTTCATGTGTTCCTCCTGCCAAACAGAGAGATAACATCAACAAGACAGAAATATTGACATAAACAGTTGCAACAAGAAACTAAATCTGGCAATCTATGCCAGGGCAGACATAATTTCGATCTTGGTCAAGTCAAGTATGAAAGTGAACAAGAAACACATTATCTCCCGTAAATACTATATTATAATTAACCAGCAAGTGACACAATCTGGTGACTTAGAGCTGACCTCGATGATTACTTGTGTCCATCGGCATTGCACGACCATTGCTAGACCCTGGAACTGCCTGCAGTATACAAGACATTTTGTGTTACAATAACAGGCATTATTTACCACCAAAACTAGGATGAAAGGTAATTCCAGAAAAACAAAGTAAAACTTCTTCTTAAGGAATCTTCTCTACAAATGAGAAAAAAATATGCATACACTTGAGACGCAAAACAAATGGTATTGATAAATTGTACCCGAGACTGATTTCTGGTTTTCTGAGCTTGCTGATACTTTATTATAGTCCAGTCAAATATATAGTCAAACTCATATCCTGAAAAGAATAAAAAAATACAGTAAATTAAGCGAGATAGGTAACTGGTGTTGGTGAGTAAAGAATCCTATCAGCTGAGGGAACTATAAAAATGATGGAGAGATGTCTATTTTCAAGTACCTTCCCGTGAGAATAAATCACGAAAAAGCCGCCTCAAGAATCCATAATCAGGGCGCTGATCAAATGTCAGTGTGTGGCAATAATGAAAATATGAAGCAAAGTCCACCGGGTGATCTTTGCATAGAACCTGCAAAGCAATGGATATAAAAAGTCAGTTAAATAAGGACTAACGAAATTCTCTCGCATATAAGAGGGAATAAAACCTCAATAGGGGTTGATATCTTCTTCTCACGAATTTTTTCATATTTTTGTTTCTTGTCAACAGCTTTAAGACCCTGCCATGGAAGACTGGAAAAAAAAAAACAACTCTGTAAATCGCTTAAAAAATAAGGAGTACCAATAGCAGAACACAATGTTAGCTAGTTTCTGGTAAATCAAAAATTCAACAAACCTTCCTCTTAAGAAATACAGAAGCACATATCCAAGAGACTCTAGGTCATCCCTCCGACTCTGCTCTGTGAAAAAGACACCAAAATATAAGGGCAAAGATGGTTGTACTTCACATAAGGAGAAAAAATCGCAGCATTCCTTACCAATTCCAATATGTGTATTGCAGCTTGCATATCGTGCTGTTCCTGTTAAATTCTTGTTTTCCCTGAATACAACCGAATCAAGGCAATAAGTTGTGATGTGGCCTTAAATTAAAAACAGATAGATAATTTACCATATGCAGATGATATACAAGTTAAACATAATATAATGATTCGCGCCACCAATACCTGTAAGGGATGTGGCGGTTGGTGCTGGCATCACGATATCTTTTGGCAAGTCCAAAGTCAATTAGATAAACCTGATTCGCTTTCCGGCCTAGGCCCATGAGAAAGTTATCTGGTTTTATATCTCTATGTAGATATCCTTTGGAATGTACATATTCTATTCTTGTCAGCTGGAAATGTGGGATAAGAGATTTAGAAGCACATTAGATGATATAATGAAAACTGCTAGCTAGTAGTATCAATGTAACTAGTATCACACAATTAATGTCCCCAAAGAATAGCTAAAACTCATGGCATACCATTTCATCAGCCAACATTAAAACCGTCTTTGGTGAGAATTTCCTCCCACAATACACGAACAGATCTTCAAGGCTTGGCCCTAGCAAATCCATCACTAACGCATTTTCCGTTCCATCCACTCCAAACCATCTTATCCGCGGAACTCCAACTACAGACCAAAATAAGCATTGTACTGATAAACAATCCCTCCAACAACTACAGAATAAGAAAAGATAAGAATCAGAAGCATACTTCCTCCTTCAAGAATTCTGTATAGCTTGGCTTCATAGAGAAGTTGAGGATGCTTTGTCTTACTGTTCTCCTGCAATACAAAATGATTGAATTAAGCGCAATTGTAAACTAGAATTACTCATCACAGCTAAAAATCACCATTAAAATGAGCTTAAAGCTTGCCTCGCTGATCAAATTGAGAGTTAATCAATGCAAAAGACCAATACGAACTAGAAGACGATAAAAAAAATTGAAAACAGAACAGATCCAAATCAGAATGGATTCATACATAGCTAATGAATCGGAACTTACGATCTTAACAGCTACGACTTCGAAAGTATCGACGTGTGTAGCTGCGAAATCAACAAAACAGGGTAAGTCAATTTCAAACCAAAGAAGAAAAACAAAAAAAACTCAAGAAACAAAGCACGAGAATCGACGAGAACACAAACCAAGAAAAATCTCTCCGAAGGAACCACTGCCAATCTTCCGTCCGAGCTTGTACTTGCCGCCGATGATACGTTCCATGGCAGCTCCGATCACTGCCGAATCTGAATCATGCGGACAAATTAAAGATATGGATTTAGGGCTTTGCTGCTTCGTTGATTCGACGAGACAGAAGGGTGACGTGGAAAATATTTGTGCCACGTAGGAGCGATGGATCTTCTTATCTTTTTTAGTCAACGCAATGTCTCTATTTAAATATATATTATTTATTTGCTTATTTTAAGTTCAACATTTTGTAACACATAATAAGTAATTTTATTTATTTGAAACTATATATGTTTATAGATAAATTTATATTTAGCATACAACATAACTCATAAGTATTTACTTTAGTATGTGTCTACAAAGATGGATAAATTACGTATTGGATTTTCAGTTTTTATTAGGGTTTAAATTTGCATTTTTGATCGTATCTTTTTGCAGAAAAAGAAAAGTACTTCTCCTTGTTTATTATGATTGCACAAATTCGAGTCATAGATGAATCAAACACACATGAAAAAAGAAAAAAAAAACAGAATACGATCGAGAGATTCGAAAGAATGAATTATTATCAAAAAAAAAAAAAAAGGTTTAGTTTAGAACTGCCTCTTGGAGCATTCCGGAGGCATAACACCTTTAAACCTGTTAGTGTCTTTGCAATAATCATAGATCATGAACCCATCTCGTATCTTTTGCATCCTCGTGAGCTGAGAAGCAGTGAGTTGGCTGAACGATGGTGATGTCCACCAGTTAGATCGTACAGTTGGGTCTGCGCATGGCTTGATGCTGACTGGTCCCTGCCACAAGCAAGCTCTTGCCTTGTACCGACGACCCTCGGCCACAAATGGTGCTAGTGTCCAGTTAGTCTTCACTCGACCTCCTTGTGTTGCCCAGTCGTCTGCGTTCCATAGACTCGCAAACACTTTCATACCTTGCTTGTTTGGGTATGCGATTCCTTCTTTCTCGTAGTTCCTGAATACTCTGATCGGAGTTCCATCGACGAACCACCTATATATAATATAAGTTATGTGACATGTTTAGTTTATATAAACATTCATGATAAGTAAGTTAGTAAACCACATATATATCTTAGAAGTGGGTACTTTAATGTGTTGCTTTACATTAAGAAACCAACAATCTGATTTGTAACATTTAATCTTAGTTGTGTTTTTATGTGGTACTTATTTGATAGAAACCATTTCTTGATAAGCATTATTATTTGGAGTTTTCTAGGACTCATCCTAATCTAATTACTTACACAACTTCGGACGGGTTCCAATGGATGGTATAGTTATGGAAACCATTAGTTGGATTGAACCATGGCCGGAATTGTTGCTCACGGTTTCCTTTCCCTTGAGCAAATATGTTGGTGTGAATCGTGTAAGGCTGACCAGTCGCATTCCCTAGGAACTCGAAGTCTATCTCATCGTGTGCACTTCCCGTTGACGATAACTAATGAAATTATAATCCATCATCAAAAATCACAAAAAAATACTAATTATTTTTCGTAATTCTATCAAGTTTAAGATAATTTTCTTACATAGTAAGCTGCAACGGTTCCAGCTGAATTCCCTGGCACAAGTTTGATGAGCATTTCAACGCTTCCAAACAAATGAGCCACCTTTGATCGAATAGCAGATCCTGCAAAATTATAAACAGTTTTCACGTTTCTTTATAAAGTTTCTCATGAACTATATATTAAAATGGAGTTACGGTGTTATGATAATATATTACAATATATACCTGCAGATTTGTCTAGGACAAGTCGAAGGTTGTCACTAGTCATACCAATATGATCTTTGCCCCATGTAACGATCATATTCTTCTTGAAGTCTGCCTCCACAAAAGTCGCTAACACGGCCACCAAAACGAACATCAACGTCTTTGCTCGGAGACCGGCCATTTTATGAATTTGATTGATGTTTGAGATAATTTGGTTGTAAAGAGGGCTTTCTTTATATATATATACCCTAATTCGAAGCAAAAACGAATTATTTTGACGTATTCCAAAAAAAAAGTATATTGTTTTGACAATGACGTGCACCTAATGAACTGTGTATGCATGAACTAGACAACATAACAATTAGATAACTATGTTCTTTTACATTAATAAAATGCTATGCTCTGAAAAGGTACTATGAATATGTATTTCTTTCAAATTTTAATTAGCCCCAAGTGGTTCTTTTATATAATTGAATATTAAATAGAAGAAAACAAAAATATAATAAGATGGACATTGTTAGCTGGCTCACGCGGTTGTGGTAGAAGCTGAGGAATGTACGTGAGGAAGACTACACAAATGGGTTCGACGACCTTGCCATCAACTTCTCTGATTCCTCTCCCTATATTTTTCTCATCAGAATTTAGCCAATATAATTTAGTTTTTTTTTTTTCAGCTATAAGAAAAGGAATTAAAATCTGAATTAATTAGAGTCATGTATATTGTTTTGGGTCAAGTTAAAAAGCCCTATAGTCTCATTTTTGTAATCAGGTTTGATCTAATAAACGGCTTAGAGATTTATCATATGGTAGGACTTTAGTCATTGTTTTGTTTGCTTGGTTACATGCTTTTTCTTTTGTCAATAACAAGCAATAAGCAGGTGAACCCTGTTGATTACACAATTATACTCTAACACAAATTACTAAACTATATATAGCTGTGAATTGTGTATTTTACTTATTCTGCATTGACATTATCTACAAGGTCAATTGTGTTTCAAATATTTTACTTATCCTGCATTGACTTTATTTATAAGATTCATGATCAGATATATTATAACTATGTTGTGATAGTTAAATAAAATAAATGACTATGAACATTTTTATTTGCGGAAAAGACACTAGAGTCAGTGTTGTTTCATAAAATATAGAAAATCCATGGTTACACATGCTGATCATGACTACATTATTTTGGGTATCAAACCAGTCCAAAGCCCTTTAATTGGGACAAATATTATCTATATAAGCATTGTGCGTCCAAATTATCAGACTCGAAGCGTGGTGAGTCAATTGAGCATATGTGCATATTATATAATTTATTAAAAATGAAAAAGCTTAGTTTAAGTCTTTAAGACATGATTAACTAGAACGTTTCTTTAAGGTTTTTTGTTATGATTTAAGTAATAAGATCTAGCGATCAATCAAGAATAATAACTTTCGGTGGGTGTTGAATAGTATTATGAAATATTCTTATAATTCATGATAAAGCTCGATCGATCAATGGTAAATAGACAAATATTGTACGAGAAAAGGTTTGATAATGAGTAAAAAGATAATACCCTTGGCGTTTTTGTTAATCTTGTTCAGAAATCATAACTTTTAATTTCATTTTTTCATTTCTTGTCATCATTATTAGATCAATGACACACCAATCACTATCAGTCAAAGTTATTGTTTCACTTTTATTTTCAATTGATAGATTCTTACATAACAATTAATTTTAATCTTAATCACAAAAGTAATCAATCAACATCATTTTTTTAGATGATGTCGTAACATTGTTGCCTCTTCTTACAACATATATAATCATATAAAAGCATATGGCTAACATTTACACTTATCCGAATTTAACTTTTTTTTTTTCTGAGTCTTTGTCTTAATTTGGATTTGCATACGAAGGCCAACATTATTTACAACTATACTCACTTAAAAATCACCCAATACGTACGTTCTAGTTTGCAGTATCCCTCCTGCTTATAATGACATTACACTATGACTTGTCGACTTAATTATATGAAATTACTGTATGTAAAAATTTACAGATGTACTCTCTATATAAAAGAAAACATATTGTAGGCAAAAAAAAAAAAATAATAAATAAATAAATATTGATATCGAAATTTGATAGCCAAAATCAAATCAAATGATCACCTATAGATATATTATTTCTCTAATATGCTGTCAATGTATAATAACAAATCCATGGCCTTTCAATAATATGAGTTCATAGACATTAATTAAAGTGACAATCTCAACTCCAAATCAGGCTCATTTGCTTCACTCGTTTCATAGTTCTGAATACCCGATCCCAACGATTTATTTCTCGGATCCTATAACAATTGGAAAGACAAAGAAGTCAGAGATCGAAAGAATATTAAACCACAATTTTTAGACAATGAACGCAAATGATTATGTTATTATATATATAAGTACTTACTAACCATTATATCTCTTGAGACATGGTAATATAAAAAGTATATACGGATGGGTTCAGATAAAGTAATAACCTCGTTTAAGAAGTGTCTGGTTGTGTTTGGTTCCACAAAATGTTGGCTCTCCAAGATGCCATAGCTCGGGTTCCAACTGTGTTGTAGAATTATGCATTATTAGCTTTGTTTTAAATATGCCACAAAACATTTATATGCATGTATATAATTAGACAACATATATCATGTAAATTAAATATTGTTTATACTTATATATAATAAAAATGTGTACGGACCTCGGTGCTACGTGAGGCTGAGAATCTCCGTATGATCTTATGGTTGTTCTCTCGTATTGATCATTATTTGCATTCATCTGTGAGATCACAAAAAAAGAAGTATAATGAATAAAAACTTCATTGACGAAAATGATTATTAAATCCACCGAGTTTGAATACATTGATCTTATTCCATCTGCTTTAGTTCCACGTCTATAATTAGTAACTAGTACTTACATAGTAGAACGGAATTATACAATATTTGTTAAAAAAATTCCTTTTATTTTCGTAGGTAGATAACAATGATAATTAATACGAATATAACTGAAGATTTTGCGATTAACTACGATGCCATATTTGAAGATAAAATGATTTCGAACTAAGAAAAGAATCTGATTTAAATATCTTCTAAATCTAAAAAGATATGCATGTAATAACAATCATGTGATGAGTATATCTCATTATAGTTTGTGAAAGCAAATAAATGACACTAGATACGATTTACAAAATTATACACAACATTGGATGTGGCATATATAGACGTACCATCATGTTTGGGTGATAGCCGTAAGGAGTCGATGATGGTGATGATGATGCATATGTAAAGGATGGTGATGAAGTTGGTATGGATGGATATCCTCCTTGCATCCTCACATCGTCCTACATTATTCAAACATTCACGATCGTTATTTGTATCTCCCATTTCAATCAACAAACGCATGATAAATCTGTTAACTAAAAATATAAATCATTCTACAATTCGATTTAGACATTACGTATTAACTAATAATTGGTATATGATGAATGATCATGTTGTTATGCTAGAGACGCGAATATGCTTTCTCACAAAGCCTTAGCTGTACTAAAATCCTTATTGAATACAGTTAGCTCTCATATGATCAAAAATAAAATCCCAAATCATAATCATCCTTGGTGTCACGGTCGAAAATTCTAATAACGATTACTAGTAGACTTATATAGATTACATGGATCTATGTAGATATGTATATGTGTGTGAAATTTGTACCTGGTGGTTGAAAGATGAGGGATGATAAGAAGGGTAAGTATTGAAGCTGTTGCAGTTAAACTCGCCGTGCAATCTAATCTTCTCTAACTGCGCCACGCCGAGACCTCTCTGTGGCTGCTTAGGCTTGTCAGAACCGTTCTTGTTCTTCCCTCTCTTTGCAGGGGTAGAAGAAGAAGATGTTGGTGAAGACGATGAAGATCCACCCATCTTTGGTCTCCCAAAAAAGCTACTACCCATAATTTCACCGGAATAATAATAATCAAGAACTAGAGAGAGAAAGTCTTGCTAGTTAGAGAGAGAAAAACCCAACACACTTGTCTTTTTATTTTCTGTGCGTGTGGGGTTGGTTTGGTTAGCTTTGAGCTGAGGAATCGAAGAGATCTCTAATGGTGATCTCTTCTTTATAAGCTTTTTTTTTTTTTTTTTTTTTTTTATATATAAAATAAAAAAATCTTTTTTATGGTTTTTGTTATTAAGATTAGTAACTACTGCATCGCTGGATCAGATTGTGTCCAGATTTCATTAGATACGTCCCACACACATACACATACATACATTACATAGATTTTATGCCCTTATTTGATTCACAATATTAATTCTGACACACACAAAAAAATATACATTTATTAATTACAATGATTGTCAATATTTTAATCGTGATTTGTTTTTTTTTCCCATTTTTTTGTCCTCGGTTTGGATGACTTCCAACGCAAAAGACTAGAATGCTGTTCGAATTTACATTTTAAAATACATATAGATCGGAGCTTAATACAATATTGTTCTTATATTGACCATAATTCATAATTACATAAACCAATAGCCGACGGGTAACCATATAATTTTATTTTACTCTATATGGTCCACATAATTATGCATATGTAATATTCTTATTTACTTTTGTATAATTCTGTATACTGAGGTTTAAAGCAAAATATACATCATACTGTAGTACGTTTTTTTAATTAAAAACGGATTATAATTAATTAGACACCTTGTTTGTTTCCTTTTTATTCTCTGCCGCATCATAGCTTTCTCAAAGTATACTTGTTATATATTGCGTTTTTCATATATAAAAATAAATCTGGTATCTATAAATGATTTTCCTGTGGCACAATGAGATTATATAAAAATAGCTTTGAGATTCGTATTTTACTTTTTAGGGTATGTAATGTCGAGAAAGACTCGGCAAGAAAAGCAGAAAAGGGAAGTAATCGAACTATATAATATAACGTTAAAATATGACTTAATGTAATTTAATTATAGTTTGTGTCTCAAAGTCATATTCGATTTCAGATTCAATATTTTATTTTTGAAAAATTGAACCTTTTTATAGTATCTTTATTGTACACGTGTATATCACCAACCTTACTTTTTAGTTGCAACACTTAATTTTCTTTTATTTATTTTTAATATTTTTTAGAAGTTTAATTTTTGTTACGTAATTTTGTAGGTTTAATCATGAAGATAGTTTGTGCTGTCAAAGAAAAAAAAACCCATAAAAATTATTTCAATCACAGAAATTTACATCATAGTTTTCACTTTTTCTATTCGTTAATGTAGCTTTTTAAAATTTTTGCTTTTAATGTATCCATTAGTTAAAAGCCTAAAAGATACAAGTTTTTTTCTTAAACTCCTTTTATCAATATAAGAAAAGTAGACGTCCATTAAGCTGTGTATTCTACTAAAGCTGTCCAGTTTTAATCTAGTTTTCACCTAAACCTAAGAAATTATTAAAATGTGAAGATTTAGATAAATTTAAAAGAAGCCAACAGTACAACCTTTTTTTTTGACAACTCCAACAGTACTATCTTTTTTTTTTTTGTCAAACTTCAAAGAAATTATCAGTTTTGTCTTCCATAATTTTACATTTGGCAACTATTTTCGTGAAACGGATCGTCTCACGAAAGAATTGTTAAAAAAAGATCTTGTTACATTTATTATTTAAAGCTAATTCTTTTTAGAATTTGAATCGTCGTCAAATTAACTACATTAAATAAGGTCATATTTTACAATTTTCCTTTTTTATTTATACGAGACGTGTCAAAAATATTTTTATGAAACGAATATGTTATTTGTAATAAAATTTAAAAAGTATTATTATTTTATGTGTATATTTTTATATATTTATGTTGCCTTTCTCAAAAGAGAGCTAAATGGCTTCATTCAAAAAAAAAAGGAAGTTGTCACCAGGCCAACAAATAAAATGTTCTTTAAACGTGTTCTAATTCTATATTATAAATAACTGATTAGAAACTAGAAAGTCAGTGACATAGCACCCGGTCGATGCCATCCACGGATGTGGACAGTGACACCAAAAATGAGTTTTTGTCACTCCATTTGTTTTGTAAAGATACAAATACTATTCAACAAAAAAAAAAATTAACCATTTCTATATATACATATATAAAATATCTTAACGAGAGTCTTACAGTTCATATCAATGTATATAGATATTACTACCAAAAAAAATGTATATAGATATCAACAAAAGGATATATCTATCTAACCATAATCTAATATCTAGGGTCTTAAAATGTCTTCAGTTCTCGTGTGGCTCCTTCATAAATTACGAGCGAACGAGTTTTGGATTAGTATAGAGATTTTTTTTTTTTTTTGGTGAGTAGCTTAGTATAGAGATTAGAGACAGAACATCGGTGAACATAGATTATTTCTATTAGCTATAAATTATCCTATTTGATTAGCCCAAAATAATAATTATCAATTACAATAATACTTATGTCGTGAATCATGTGATCCCCCGAACATCTCTCCTAGTCCTAGCTTTAATATATAACTCTCTATAAATAATAATATTAAGTAGCAAAAGGTCACATTTTTAAAAAGACAAGGAACTAACAGGTGTGTGCCACTTGTAGGTCAGATGCTAAAACGAATTTATAATATTCTTTCTTAGTAATGACGCCACTTTAATTTTGATTAATAAATATGTAAAACTATAGAGAGATGTTTTGATTTTGAATTGTACACTAGAAACGAAGTATTGAGGTAACCCGTCTTCGGCCTCTCCCTGCTGACATATAGATAAAGTTCTCTCCTCCTTGCTCGTTGCACGTTTCGGACATTACGACCGTGTCGATCTCATCCGTTCTATTTTGCAGTGATAACTACTTTGAACGTACGGTCTTACAAAGCTAGCAGATTCGCTATAACTAAAGCAAAAATCATGAACTTGTCATATGGTGAAAATTTCGTGATTGTTGGATAAATTCATACGTCTTCTAATGATCCTAAGTAGTCGTTAAGTGCTCACAAACTTCGAAATAATCTGATGTTATGATCACTTATGAACATCTGTACGTACGTGTTTGAACTCATATGTTAATGTAGTAGACAAGCTAGTGACAACACATATAAATCTGTAAATTATATGAATATATGATCGCAGCATAACACCATAATTTACAAAGCATAGTGGAGTGAATGTTTATAGCAAAATTAGTTTTAAAATCCAATAAATAATATCTACCGTAGATTTTGTGCACATGCATTCCCCTGCTACACTAGTGTCTATCTCTTTCTGTGTGTTTCTTTAAATGTTGTCATATTATTATTTCTAAATACTTTTTTTTTTATAAAATATGAATCCGAATCAAATCTCATTGATCCTCTTACTTACCTTGACAACCAATCAAACACATAAAGTTCCATTTTGTATCATAATTAATTATTCCTTAACTATGCAGTTTTTGTTTTTTGTTTTTTGATATTTTGAATACTAGAATATTGATGTGATCGAATTTTTAGTTTCTGATGATAAATATACATGCATTATCCTCGAAAATTACTAATTTGGACTAATATTCTAAAGGCTCTAATCTCAAATTAGACTAATCTCCTTTGCTAATCACTAAAACTTAGTAAATAATCAGTCTTAGTGATAAACAATTAATAAGTCCAACAAACCTCATAATAATTTCCCTCAACTTTTCACTAGTTAAAATATTAGTGGTAAAAAAGTTTTGGTGCTTAAGTTCTAGATCGTTAGGTAGATAATCAAACTAATCTTAACATAGCACAAATTCTAGATAGATGAATGAAGTAAAAAGATCTAATCCTAAACATCAAGAGTCAAAAATTATGATGATTCTAGGCTAACTCATCCCAATATTGGATTACGTACGTACACATATCAATGAAAACTAGAGAAGAAGATATATTTCTTAAAAACAATTGTGAAGTACATTAATATAATTGAGTGGATGAGAAAATATATTTTTTTAAAAGGGAGATATATATTATCAAACTTACTAGGGTTCTTAAATTGAAGGAAGTTTTTTATGTCTTCACGAGTCTTCATGCAGCGGTCGTTTATTAAAAATGTATATACTATCTCTTGAATCTCTGTACTCATCAAGCAAGAGACGTGTGAATCATGGACGCATGGGGCTTAATAATAATTATCCACTTATTATATTTTCTATCTCTGTCTCAAATAATTTTATCACTGCTTATATTTCATTCTCATAATATATAGTAATATATTAACTCTTAATTTAAGATATCTAATACGATATATCTCCAATTAAATTGGCTTCATGTATGGAGACTAAAGTAATTCAATAATATAGGAGATCCTGGTCACATAAACACACATGCATAATGTACCAAAAACCCAACTGGCTGTTCAAATTTCAACAACTATATCAATTTCTATAGATAAAATATTCTGAAGATTTCCATACACATGTGATGTATTTTTGTTTTCTATTTTTCTATTTTTATCCTTTTTTCGTTACGAATTTGCAGATTGTAATGTGGACGTCGATGTTATAATATTTGACGGCTATTTAACAAGCTCAAATTTTGTTGACTTATGGGTTGCTAGATCAAGCACCATATATAGATTATAATAAGAGTCAAGTGTTCACATCTGAAGTTCTTAAACAATTATCATACATGCCGTACTTAACTAATTAACTTGTGGAGGTAAAAAAGGTTGTGATTTTTAAAAAGATAAAGAAAATAACAAAGCGAAGTGTTTGACAAAAAGAAGAGAGCATCTCTCCACATGCAAGGGCTTCAGAGATTCAGGAAGCTGATATCGCAGTTTCCAAGGTCATCTCTATCTAGTTGTCTACCAAACTCGCTTTAGATTATACTATATTTTACTACCATACGTAATGATATGATTTGTCTACATGATCATCTTCTTAATATATGTATTATAGTTTTTTTTTTCTTTTGATCTTGCACTAATTTAAATTGATAAAGTTGACCATAAGTCATGTTCACAACTTTCATAATATTTATATTGTACGCTCACAGTTTTTATATTCGTATTAGTAGTTCTAGTTTACTTAGAAACATAAAATATACAAATAAGTCGAAGTTGCATAACACTATATAAACACTCTCCGAAATCTCGTAATAACTAAATATATGGTTATATATAGTTGGCTAAGATTATTGCAAATTGAGTTAGGTCTAATCTCTTTCTCCCAAAAGCATATAATGAAAATAAACTAACATGAAAATTTGCAGCTAGATTAAACGACATACCTAGTTGCCCTGCGTGATCTATCCTTGGATATGGGCTAATGGACATGTTGGTTTATTTTTAAGGTTATACCTAAATTATTGGAGAATCCTTATTTATTATATATACATGTCTTCAATTTTTAATATTGTAATTGTTTTCTGATATTGTTCTTGTTAAATGGCATTATTTATTCGGATTTAATTGTTTTTATATAGTGTGGTCACGTTGAAAAAGTAAGTTTCTTCCTTCGGATAACAAGTTCGATCGTAGATATGATTGTGTATGTATGTGTGTGTAATGTGTAAACATAATAGAAGTGCATACTTACTGAAGCACTTAAAGAATTTGCATCGAACCATGCATAAAAGACGACCAAAGAGAAAAGAGGAACCATGCATAAAGAAATCGTTCATGAGAATAGACAAGGACAAGAGTCTTATCAAAATTACAATAATTGAACATTTGGCGATTAGTGATTAGCAACAAAACGTACATTTAGTTATTATTTCCTATATAGTAGTAATTGCCAAAGTAAGAGGTTCGGTTAATTTTGTTTATGTAATATTATAGAAGATGATCGTACGTGTAGTCGATAAGGTTATGAAATGTTCGTCCCACGTGGGAGAAGATACAAGAGAATCATTGATGCTGAATCTTTATTAGCTCTAAGCGATTAAATTAAAGGAGCTTTTGTTGTTCGATGAAGCTTCCTCCACCATCGACCATACATATTTATATATCATAATACTAAATCACAAATTAAACTAATAATACTCTAATACCTTTCCAATTTTTTCTTCTCTCCTTTTTTTGAATGATTACTTTTCAAACAATCTTTGAGATAGTACAGATTTGATCCATTGGCTGATTTGTTTTCATTTTTCAATTCAGTTGGCATCCATGCTGTTATCTTGCTAGCTATTATTTGATTTTTTTGCTAATTATTTTAAATTTTAATAAACATAGTTGAGGAATAATACTTCATTTCTTATTCGACATTCTTGTATATGTTCTAGTAGGAGGAACATTTCGGTTTTAAATTAAGTTTGTGTTATTCGACTTTTGTTTAACTCAAGAAGATTGTTATTGAACTAGAACATAGATATATTCTGTTGGTTTTTCTATGTTTTTGTTTTTTCCATTCTTCATTCAACTCATTGTTTTGTTGGGGTTTTGGAGAAATAGATACATCAACAATATAAATAATTAAAAACGACTTAATATTGTAATACTATTACAACAATGAATCTTATTACATCGAAAATTAATTTAAAATCCAATATATCAATTTCAAACTTGCAATTATTGAAATGTGATTCGTTTCACATAACTTCAGTTTCAACTTAGTCCAAATGACCACCATTGTATTCAATTACTCGTTCTTTGATTCTGTGTGACGTCTTCAAGAACTTACATTGACTTTTCTTGTTCAACTAAATTATATAACCTGTGGTCAAAAATGGAAAAAAAAAAAAAAAAAAAAAAAGACAGAGTAACACAAGTTAAACTTAATCTTACACAGTCATAAAAAAATCCAGACTTGTGAAAATACAATCATCTTTGAACATTACATGATCGTGACGGTCTAGTTCTGTCTAGGCTCAAAACGCCAGAGATCTACAGCAATATCGACTTCTTTTCGCTTGTGGAACTTGTAGAGCTTTGGCAAGTCATACCGGAGCTGCAAAAGGAACAATATGGATAAGTTAGAATGTTCACACACATTCACATCATCAGAGTTTTATACGATACTTTCGAATCTTTTAGTCCTACCTCACAAAGAACTTCAGCACTTTTCGCATTGAAATCACGCAAAGCCGCCCTTTTAATGTGCTGCGAGAATGTAAAGCATGTTTAGTAATAAGAAATATATTAGTAAAGTAGATACTATAAGGAAGAAGGAAGGCTTTGCTTACTTCTCTAGTAGATGTCTTATGCAAAGAATAAACAGCATCTGAGGCGACCTGCATACCAAAATAATGAATATAAGACATAATCGACAAATTCAGAATACAGTAACTATGAGATTTTTTTTTGCTGTTTCTATTACCTTCATTGCTGCAGAGAGAAACTCCATGTCAGCTCCTTTCTTTCGTGTACCAAAAGGAGGGTTCATTACTACAGTATTCACAATCTGGCCTGAAACAATTCATGGAGGCACAAATATGATACAGTAGATTCTTCTTTTTGTTGAAGAATTTAACAATGAAAGGAGATTGTACCTTTTAACTCTAACTTTGTAATGTCACACTGAACGAAGTCTATCTCCACCTGCGAAACAAACCAATTATAGCAACGGTATTGCAACAAGCCTACAGCCAAAGGAAGACTCATTTCCATGAAGAAGAGCTTAAAGAAAAAACCTCAAGTTCCTCTGCATTTAGTGTTGCTGTCTCAAGAGACTGTGGGTCGATATCGAATCCAATCACAGACCTGTTTCTTAAGCACCAAAAGATTAATATGTAGAGATAGATGCATTGATGAGAGAAAAGATGAATAATAACTCACGCTGCATCTAGAAGAGCAGCAGCAGCACTTAAAGTACCACAGCCACATCCAAAATCCGCAACGACCTTATCAGTAATGTCTCCATATGAATTCTCTGCCTAAACAAGGATAATGATTCAGGCTTCTTGAAGAACAGGAACAAAGCCAAGTATTCCAACATAACAACCTAGACTAGAGAAATCTGACATTCAAACATTTTCAATTCATTACTAGCCTTTTATGAAAGGAGCAAAACGCCCAGTGAGATCATTACAAAAGACCCATTCCACAGAACGCATGAAATTATATTAACATCATTGCCCAGAAACGTGTATGTAAACAACAAAAGTAATAAAATTTTGAGCAGAGGAAGAAAGAAATTTACAGTGAAAAGCATACGAGAAGCAATGTGCGGACCAGTTGGGTATTGCTCCAATTCCACCTGCGACACAGATAATCAAAAAGAGTTTAGTCGACGAAATCAGCAAAAATAAAATTCAGAAAAAAACTCGATTTATATAATTGTAAAGGAAGAAAGAACTAATCTTTCAGCATACTTTAGGATTAGAGAACTGTTCAAGATCACCCAACAAGCCTTCTAATTGCTTCAGCTTCATCTTCTTCTCCGGCGCTTCTGAATACTGAAAAATTCACAGGAAACGAAAAAAGCAAGTCAAAAAGTCCTTCGCGACTGATAATAATAAACGATACTGGATAATGTTAGGCCCATTGGGCTTTTTTTTTTCTTTTCCTGTGTCAAAGAGGGAAAAACCCCAATACCCTTGATTGAGCTTTTTCTCATTCTCTTCACTGAATCGTGCTGGTCGTTGAGAGAGAGAGAGAGGGAGAGATGTGTCCTCGAGCTGCTCAAACATGCGAAATCTGCAAGAAAGTTGTATCCAAATACAAGTGTCCGTCTTGTCTTGTTCCTTAGTAAGTCTTCTTCGCCTCTCTCTCTATTTTGGTATATATATATTTCTATCGTTTCATCTTTGCTGTGTTTAGTCATTGTTTCTTACTTGGGTTCTGTGTCTGCAGCTGTTCATTGGCTTGTTTCAAGATTCACAAAGGTAAGTCCTTTCTGAATTCTTTTAGCTCCCGCTGATTGATGTTAATATCTAACTGGGACAGACTTTTAAAGTGTTCGACTTTGTAATTGAGTTCAATGAGCGTCACTTGTTTGCTTATTTAGCTTCAATCTACTGACCCTTGAATGAGTTATTTCATTGGACCTAATAGAGAAAATTTGTTTGTGTATCTGATTTGCTTCAATGAATTTTAGCTGAACAGTCTTGATTTTAGTTTATGTTTATGTTGACGTGTTTCTTACTATGTAATCTGAATTACTGAATGTTGCAGAGACTCCATGTGCTAAGCCTTCTTCAACAGAGGAAAAGCCAGGTTAGTGCCTTTAGTCATTTTTTTATTGTTTTTAGATTAGTCATTTCTTGTTTGGTTTGCATATCTCTATTCTCTAATGGGTTTGTTTGGTAAGTTATTCAATGTGAATCATAGTTTGAGTCATGCTCTGGTTTTGTAGCAGCTTCTCCAGCAAAAGAAGAAGTCCCGGTGGAAAGACCTGTACATGTCGAGGAAGCTAATGATGTTGTAGAAAAAACAGAGAATAAGGCTAGTGGTATGGCTCTTCCTAACTTAGTTGCATTTAGATTCATGGGCTGAGTTTCAATACATCTGAAGTAGCATCAGACAATAGAACGTTTGAACCTGGGTTTGAGTCATTATCTGGGTTTTGTAGCTGCATCTCCAGCAAAGGAAATTCCGGTGGCAAGACCGATACATGTAGAGGAAGAAAAGTATGTTTTAGAGAAGACACAGCTCGAGGCTATTGGTAACGTGCTTCCAGCTTACTCTCGTGTAGTTTAGTAATTGGGTAACAAACGTTTGAACAAATTTTTAGCTTCATAGGCCATTTCTAAATCAGAAAAGTTTTTGCAGCTTCTTCTAGTGAAATCCGAGAAGCTCTAAAGGATGAAGCCCTTCAGAAACTCATCTGCAATATTGATAGTTCTTCCAACCCTGTGCAGGTAAATATCATTTATTGTCATGGTTTCATCAAAGATTCGTTGTTGATGTCGTGACAAGATTTGACGAAACTATTTGTGCATCTATCAGGAACTCGATGAAGCCATGGGATTAGAAGCTTTCCGCGAATTTACAGATAAGGTACACAGTCTTTAAAGCCTTTTACTTTCTTTTCACGAACTTGCAATAATCCATGACCAGCAAAAGAGTCTAATGCCAAGTTTCTCACTTCGTTTTTTTCTTTTTAGATTCTATCAAACATTTCCAAGAGTAAATGATAAGCAGTGATTGAAGTCCCGTCAGAACATAAGTTCCACAAGTGTATTCTTGCTTAGTGTGTTTGTTGCAAAGTTAAAGAGGAATGTTTATTGGCTATAGAAACGATTGCTCCGTTTTGGTATAAGCTAATATCTCTTCTCTTCTGTGGCCTACTTTGTAACATGTATATATTAACCCCCTCGATTCTTCCCAAGATACTCACATTTACAGAAACATAGTAAAAATGCACCTTAACCTTAAACAGACAGACAAAGCTTACATGCTAGCTCACTAGTTACATGCTAGTCTCTGGATGAGTCAGAAGCTTTGGTGTGTTGGGAAAGGGCAGTGCCGTGCTGGATACGATGGAGGTACAGTACAGGCCATAGGCTGCATATGATGGAGGTAAAATATGTCGTTTCCCCACAAAGCTCCAAGGGAACCACCCAGATTCGTTGATTTGCGAGTTGGAAACCCTCATAGAAGTGGGTCACATTTCTTGAATATTTCTTCTCCATTGTCTCATTCTCTTTGATTTTGTGCTTAGATAAGCTCCCTATCTCTCTTTCCCTGGAAATGAGCGTCAAAACTCCAATTTGGTTTGTTCCCAGTGACGTCAAAACTCCAATTTGGTCTCACTCATGGCTCCCACACATGTGAACAAAAAACATCGGAAAATACAATTACAGTGAGATTTTTGTATCAACCTTGGGAAACAAACAGACTTCTTCTTTAACCATCCAACCTCTCTACAATATCAATAAATATTTCGTCATTTTGGCATATATATGTTTCTGGAACATGTTTTTATAGTATATAACTATTCATTTATTTTGAGTTTTGACGCAGCTATAGACATGGGAGATATTTAGTCAGTCAAAATGGCTTTACACTTCTAACATATATAGGCTCAAAACTTCAGCTGGTACTTTTGCTCCTTTTATTTGTATTGGAATGATGATTTCTATAGGAAGTAGGTTAGACTCGTAGTCTTCTTTGGTCCGGGACTAGCCCAGTATATACAACTAAGTCCTTGCCCAGTATACACATGCTATTTTGCAGACATATTGTGTTTTTTTCTTTTAATGTTTTTTTTTTTTCTCTGATATGCATTTTGTTTTTCTGAAAAAAGGTTTTGAGCTTAGATGTGATGCTTTCGAGGATGCACAAAACATTTCTCTTCTCTTGGCCCACCTTGCAGCCTGTATATATTGACCCCATAGATTCTACGTACTGACATGTACAGAAAAGGGATTTTAACCTTAAAACAGACAAAACATACATGTTAACCACTTTGTGGCTATCTTCAAAATTGTGCTTTTCTTGGTGAACAGATCCTTTTTTACTCAACAGCATCAACCTGCAACGACACAATGGTATCTTGACCATAAACTTATCTCGCAAGAAAAGTCTTTATTTCCTGATTCTTACTATTGCTAACCTGTTGGTTGGTTGTCCTGATCCTCAAGTTCCTTGCTAGTACTTGCCTGGCTTATACTCATCTGTGATGTTGTTTGACTCTGTAGGAAACATTTTAGAAAGAAATTTCGTGAGCTTTACCATTCTTATGGAAAAAGAGGAGTAAGCGCAATGGATATATGAAAAGAATCACCTGCAATGGAGGAGGAAGTTGTTGCATCTGGTGGAGACCAGGAAACTGACTATTAGGATTCATGTATACCGGAAACTGAGGCTGGTTCGACACCATGTTAGGCTGCGGAGTTGGTAAATGAACTATGGATGGGTCAGAGGTCTGAATGTTTGGAAAAGGGTAGCGCGGAGCTGGATATTGTGGACCTAGACCCGCAATATGAGGCGGCCTATTGAACGGTATGAACGGAGGAGGCTGATTCATACCCATCATCCCCATGCCCATCTGGGGCATGAACTGTTGCATATTCCCTGCATACATCATTGGCGGCATCATACCTTGTCCTGTAGACATCATCTGGCATAACAACATCGATAAAGATATCAAAATCTCAGTCATGTCCTGAAGACATAGTCCTTTAAACTTGCGAGACAGAAGAGTAAGCCCTAAAGACCAGGGCATAATAAGTAGAATCAGCTATTAGGCCATCTCATTTAATCGAAGTACCAGTATTTGATATTTCCAAGTAGAGACTTATAAAGATTTGCATTTATCTCCAATGAAACTTTATAACCCTTCCAAGAAGATGAATCTGCGGACATTAAACCTAAACTGTTAAGAAACCGAAACCTGAGGAGACGTTGGTCGAGAGGCACACAAAAAATAACTCTAAGAACCCACACATAACTAGATTCATCTATGTTATTTACAATTCTGTTTTTGAGGGAACACCTGTACTTGGCTCTGTAACCCTTTCAGGTACTCAATAACATCATCCAACATTGAAGCTTTATCAGACTGTATAAACAGAACAATGTTAAAAAAGGATCAACCTTAGGTTTCATAACAACAAGTTTATTAAAAAAATCTGGGAATGACCTTTCTGCAACGAGGAATGAGTTCTTGCAGAGTCTTCATCCTCTCGTTGATCTTTTCTCGCCTTCTCTGTTAAAAACAAAAACAAGTTTCAGAGAAGATGAAACAGAGAGAAAGAGTCCATTGTTGGAACCCAGAAAGGAAATCTAAGAACCCTTTCGGAGAGGTTATGCATTTCTGCAGCTCGTGACCTCTTCCTAGAAGCTGAACCACGAGCTTCTTCAGTTCTCTGTACACCACGAAACATAGAAAGGTTAAGCCTTGACGGGTCTACATGAATACGCAGGTTAACCTATTGGAGCGGTGAGTGACTCACCTGGATTCCGGCAATGGTTTCCTCTCTTTCCTTTAGCTTCTCAGTCTCCGTCGCTGGTTGAACCTGAATCGGGTCTGGTTCGACCTTGCAGACCCCCGAAGATGGTGTTCTGGCCGTCTCGATCGCCACAGCCTTTCCCTTCCGACCAGGACCGGGAACTACAAAAGTGCGCGACACCCGACTCTCGGTTCCCTCCGTCGCTGGTATTACACAGGATTCAGGGGTCGCGCTCGAACCAACCTGCATCGATTCTCTCACCACCGGGGTCGCGCTCGAACCAACCTGCATCGACTGTCCAACTTCCACGCTACCGCTGGCATATAGACTCCTTAGCCACGAGAAGTTCATAAGATTCTCCGCCCTTGTCACGGCCAAAATCTGACCGGTAGGTCTCTCCGGTGGTAGAGTATACAGGGCACTTGGTGTTGGTGCCAAGGACACAGAGCTTTGTGGATATAAAAGTTCGGAGGAGAAATAATCTTGGCGGTAAGAATGGTAAAGCCAAGACGCCATTTCATCTTCTTGAATGAAGAGATTCTGTTGATGCATGTGAGGTTGAGGCTGGAGATGCGGAAGTGGAAGAGAAGCATTTTCTTCTCCACCACCACCGCTTCCACTGCCACGGAGAATGGGAGGAGGAGGAGGAGAAGGTTCATCAGAGGAGGGCCTTTGTGTTTGGCTGCTTCGAACTACTTGGCCACTCTTCCATAGGAGCTCCACTAAATCATCTTCACCCCTATATCTCAAACAAACCTTAACATCAAAAATCTTGCAACAAAAAAAACAAAAAAAAAACAGAACACTTGCAAAACCTTAAATTTAGACACATCATTTACATGATGGAGGAAAAAGTAGAATTAGAAGAATCTGAGATGATAACATCGTCGCTGGTTTTTGAAGTCTATGAGCAACAATTGTTTATATATCTTTGAGAGTGATAACATCGTCGTTGGTTTTTTAAGTCTATGAGCAACAATTGTTTATATATATCTTTGAGAGTGATAACATCGTCGTTGGTTTTTTAAGTCTATGAGCAACAATTGTTTATATATATCTTTGAGACAAAAAGAAACAAATCACACATTTTGTGATTTGTACCTTTTATCAATATATATATATATATATATATATATATATATTATTTTGTTGTAAATTGTTAAAAGAAATAAAAATAAGAAGAGAAATAAGAAGAGAATTTTGTCTTGTTTATCCAGAAAGCTCCAAAAAACCAATTTAAAGAACAGACTATTTTATATATATATATATAAATGTTTTTTTGGGTCAGATACGATGAGTCGCTATTTCTTTCTTTCCCCTTCTACTGATAAAATCATCATCCGATTATTTTGTCATTCCCCAAATGTTTTTGTGCTGTAGAAATGAGAATGTCTATTTTAGGAACTGATCAGGATAAGCTCTCTCTCCCTCATTCCCCCAAGTGTGTCTCTATGCGTACACTGACGTTTTCAGCATTCCACAATGACGTCGTCACTCTTCGCGTCGACTCTTTTTGTAGTTTATAATTCTCCACTTTGGTTTCTTGCTCGTTATACATACAATGTTTCTAATTTTTGTGTATTATTTTGTAACCAAAAACAACATCTTCTTCTTAGTACGCACGACAGTACCAATAAACATTTATATATTGGCTCTGCATCGACAGCGTCTTGTTTTTTTTTTGGCTCAAACTGATCTACGTCATCGTCTTTTTTATTTCTTTTACATATTTAGTGTGACGTTGGCGAGTTTGAGCCAAATGTAATTTTTCTTTCTTTTTCATTTTTTTTCGGAAAATATAGACATGTCTTTTGACGTATGATGCTGTAAGGCCATTCAAAATACATATTATGTGCAAGAGATCATTTTAGATCTTAGGATATTGTGATTCATCTTCGTCGTCCGAACATCTGTCACATGAAACCTGTCATACGCAACAGCATTCTCCAACTTTAGGAGGTGTTAGTTGAGTCTTTGTATATATTTTTGATCGTCTGCATGCGTTTGGCTTTTAGTGTCTGTACTTAACATGTTTTAAGTTATGGTTTTGCTAATGTGTTTGTTTGACCTAGTTGGTCTCAATTGTATCATAATACGAGGATGGTCATGTACTTTTGCTAACTCGATCGTTGTGGTTTAAATTAGTTTATGGTCCACCTTGCAACATGTGTATCCTGACCACCTAGATTCCATTCCAGATTCTGACATTTGTAGAAACAGGAAATGAAACTAAAGAGGTACATACCTACCTAGCTTTAACCTTAAGAGACAAAATCTACAAGTTAGATCTCTGCTTATTTTAAATTTTAGCGATTTGCTAAGATAACTTATCTATTTTTAACTTCACACATCAACCTGCATCGACACAATCGAGATGCATCTGTCACACTTTTTGCCATTAACTTGTCTTGCAAGAAAAAGCCATTTATACCTTGATTTGTACTAACCTGTTGATTGGTTGTCCTGGTCATCATGTTCTTTGCTATTACTTCCATCGCTGAAACTCACTGGTGATGTTGTTTGACTCTACAAGAACAGTTTTAAAAAAGGATCTTGTGAGCATCATCATTCGTAGGAAGTAGGAACAGAGGAATAGGCACAATGAATATATAATGGGAAAAGAATTACATGCAGTGGAGTCGGAGGTTGTTGCATCCGGTGGAGACCAACAAACTGGCTATAGGGATTCATGTAAGCCGGGAACTGAGGCTGGGTAGACACCAGGTTAGGCTGAGGGGTTCGTAGATGGACTCTAGATGGATCATAAGGGTAGGGTGGTGCTAGTGCTGGACGTGATGGACCTATACCCTCCATATGAGGCGGCCTAGGAAAAGGTGTGCCCGGGAAAGGTATAAATGGAGGCCGGTTCATATCCATCATCCTCATGGCCATGTTGGGCATTAACGGTTGCACATTCCCTGCGTTCATCATCGGTGGCATCGTACCTTGTCCCATCGACATCATCTGGAAATATCACAACATCGGATCAGATATTAAAGCTTTAGTCATGAGTACCTAAATATATATTTTTCAAATTATTTTTTAATCTGTTTTCCACGTTCAGATACATATTATGTTTTCGAGGACATACCTGCACTTGCATCTGTAGCGATTTCACGTACTCGATAACAAACTCCAGCGTTGAAGCTTTATCCTTCTGATCAGAACATAGACACAAAATTAATCAGAATTAATCTTAAGTTTAATAACAAGTAGCTAAAAAAACATAACAACTGTGAACAACCTTGCTGCATCCAGGAATGAGTTCTTGCAGAGTCTTCATCTTCTCGTTAATCTTTTCTCTCCGTCTCTGTTACAAACAAAACAAAACAAAAGTTTTAAAGGAGATGAAACAGAGAACTCTAGAGTCCATTGTTGAACACACAAGAATCTTAAAATTCTAATGGAAATGTAAGAACCCTTTCGGAGAGGTTGTGCATTTCTGCCGCTCGGGACTTCTTCCTGGTAACTGATGAATCACGAGCTTCTTCAGTTCCCTGTGCACCATGGGAAAAATTGAAAAAGTAAACATTGATTTCTAAGATGCATGGGTCAAATGGCTAACACGCGCCGGTTGATATAGAAGCAACTAGAATATACAGAATATTTTTTAATATTTATTTTTTTTTGGTGGAAGAGAGGGGAAAATGAATATTCTTTAATATAGATGTAAACAAAAAAGAATATTCTTTAGTATATTTGTAAATTGACGTTAAAAAAGGTATATTTGTTAGTAAATTACTATGGCTTGGTTTTTATGGAAACTATAAGTTAATTAGAATTTCATTCTATTCTTTGAAAAAATTATATATGCATAAATTTCGTAGACACACTAATTAATGTGTTCTTCTCTCATCGGAGCTGTGACTCACCTGGATTTCGGCATTGGTTTCTTCTCTCTCCTTTCGCTTCCTGTCTTCGGAGATTTCTGACGCTGGTTGTGTCTGAATCGGCTTTGTTCCGGCGTTCTCACTAGCCATCTTTTCGTCTCGACCAAGACTGGGAACTGAAAAAGTGCGCAACACTCGACTCTTGGTGCCCTCAGTCGCTGGTATTACACATGATTCAGTTGCAAAAGATGACGGGGTCGCACTCGATTCCACCTGCATGGACGGTCCAGCTTCAACTCTACCGCCGGTACATATGTTCCCTCTTAGCCTCGAGAAGTTCATAAAATTCTCCGCCCTTCTCCCGGAAAATATTTGACCGGTAGGCCTCTCCGGCGTCATAATGTCCTGAATACTAGGTGGTGGTGGTGCCAGGGAGGCCAAAATTTGCGGGAGGGTAGCCGGAGTCGAGGAGACGCTGGAGTAGAAATAATCTTGGCGATTAGGATGGGGGAGCCAAGAAGCCATTTCATCTTCTTGGATGAAGAGACTTTGCTGATCATGATGCTGCAGGGAAGGTGTAGGGTGCGGTAGAGGATCATTTCCTTCTCCACTTCCGCTTCCGCTGCCGCGGAGTATGGGAAGAGGGTGGGAGGAGGATCTCTGTATCTGGCTGCTTGGAACGACTTGGCCGCTCTTCCATAAGAGTTCCACGATATCATCTTCACCCCTAAACTCAAAAAAAAAAAAACCAAACCACTGAAAAATCACACTCCTTAAGTTGCATAAACATGCAAGCTAAGTAACAAATTCGGAAATGAACTTACATGATGGCTTTTCTTGGGAGCTCAGATCAAGGAGGAGGTATAAGTATAAGAAGCAGAATGTGAGAAAATATAAAGGGTCGTCTGTTTCCGAGTGGGGAACGAAAAAGATTCATCTCTTGAGACAAAATAAAAAATAAAAATGAACAAAAGTTCTGATAGAAGTCACCAAGAAACTTAAATTGGAGATTTGTGACTTGTACACTAAGAAAAACAGAAAAAATACAAAAATGATAATGTTGTGATTTTGTTAAAAGATTCCTTAAAAAGAAAGAACGAGAAACTAAATATTTGTCGTAAGCGTTTCTCACGTTTTTACCCATAAAGCTCCAAACACAAATTACCCAGAGAGCAGTAAAAAACTGCATAACCTTTTTATATATATATTAGTGGTGTTTTGGCCTATATGTGTAAGTGGGTGAGTCAGTTTCTTCTACTTGTTTCCTTTTCTCCGAATTTTGTGCTGCTAAGATAAGCTCTAAACCGGAAGTAAACGTCTATGTGTCATGTGTGTGTGCTATGTATGAAAGAGCTTATGACGTCTTCAGTATTTGCAATGACGTATTTCACTCTCCATGCTCGAAGGCCTCTTCTTTTTTTGCTATTCTTCTCATATGTCGTACACAAATGGACATGTATATATATATATAATATGTGTACGATCAAACTGGTATCATTGTTTAAACAAAAACATCCAAAGAGAAGAACGAGGTTTTTGTATTTGACCTCAGAAAACAACAACTTCATTCTTAAGCAAATATCTCTTAGCAGAGTGCAATACTACAAAATCAATAAACATTTATATATTGGTGCTGCAGTGATTGATACCTGCTTGATTGCTTCGAGATCTTGGATGTTTACGTTTAAAATAATACTTGCTTGCTTGCTCCCATATGTATATCCATGTGGAGCCATCAAAGAGACCAGAGACCATGGAGAATGATGTGCATTGTGTGAAAAAACAAAACAGCTGATGTGGAGAGTGATGATGTCATGAATGAACATTGAAAACGTCCACACTTCCGGCTGAGTGAGAGTGAACTTATCACTTCCGAGAACTTTATCCAAGCACAAATTTGGTAAAAAACACACAGCTGGAGCAAAAGCAACTGGTTCATGGAAAGACATTTTTTTAAAGATCTATAATTTTCTAACTCTTTTTTGACGTGGAATGATGTTAGCCAGTCGTAAGTCGTAACTTAGAAATACGTCAATTGATATTTTTGCAAAGTATTTATAGAGAAAGATGAATCTAGAAGTGGCTATAATCGCGGATATGAAAATTGACAAAGTTGTATACAGGTCTTTCCAAAGTGTATGAAAATTAACCCAAAAAATGAACTAAACAGAAAATACAGAGCAGAGACAGAGACTTGCTATATATTATTAGATATGAAAAGCTGAAAATAATAAACATCATTTATATATAGTAGTATCTAATGGCTCAAGCCGATACTAAAAATGTTAAACGTAATACAGACTCTGATATTACACTTTGCATATCAGACGTCGTACGTGTGTCGCATAATATATTCTAAAATAGAGTGCTCCCTTAGTTATATCCTGGAGTCTAAAGCCATGATAGTACTGAGGTTCATGGGGTTCATGTACTCAACCGAACCAGTCATGATTTGTTGGACGATGAGTCGGGTGGCTTTCTCGGTCGGGTGGAAAGGGTCCCAGAAAGCATAAGCGTTGCGGTCAGGGCATAGGCTCGATAATGGTGTGCAAACGCCTCGCCCATTGTATGCTCCTTGTCCACAACATGCTACCTTAGACGTCACGAAACCTATCAAAATGTATCCAATTAGGTCTAAATCAAAACTGATTTTGGACACACACACACTGACGCACATGTACATATATATACAGTATATACTAATTTCAAAATCAATCGAGAAGATCTCACCAAATCTTTGGGGATTGTTGATGAAATCTGCATTCATATTAAAGGCATTAGCCCCAATGAAAACATCAGAACCAATCTCACGGTTAAGTCCCTGAAGCATTTGTACCAAAAGCGGATTAAATATTGCTGCAGCCTGTTGCGCCTCGGGTGCACATTCTCCATTCACACTTCCCGATGAGGCAAGCTCAGCTGGTACGCAGCCCAACGGTCCTGTTCCTGTCACCATCACTCTTCTTGCTCCCAGCTCGTATAGCCTCTGTATCACGGAATAAGAGTCAAAAGCATGAAAAAATGATACCAATAACCCTAAAACCTAGCGTGTAACCCAAGAAATTATACCGCCAGGATTTTCTTGTACTCGGAGATGAGAAGCTGGCTAAATTCGCCGAGAGACGACTGGCCTCTTCTAGAAGAGATTGGGAAGAAGTAGTTGTTGACGAAATCGTTGCCTCCGAGAGTCATGAGGACAAGAGCCCCGTTTACAAGCTGTTTTGTTTTGTCTGAACCTAGAATCTCACTCACTCTCTCTTGATACTCTTGGAATAGCTCGAATTGCCTACCGATCCTTAGTATGTTCAACTGCATTTAATTTATCCACACCAAAAAAAAAAGAAGTAGATTAGATTAGGATCCAACATAATTTAGTATCTTTTTATCTCTAAGGTGACAATTAAGCATTTTATTCAACTCAAAAGAATATATCTAAATACGAAAACTGAGTTGGGAGTTTAATCAATGTACTTTAAACTAAAGGCTAAAAAAATGAATTACAAATTGAACTCCGGTGTCGTTGAGTATCCCAATGCCGGCAGAGGCAAAGTTAGCTCCGATCAATAGCTTCTCACCGGTGAGCTCAGGGCTAAGAATTGGCAACGTAGGCTCAGATCCAATCTGTTCACCTAAATTAGCCCCATGCAAAATTACTTTTCAATGATCCCCCAAAAGATATAATAACAAAAGATAAAAAAAAATTGATCGAGCACGGCGTCGTACTGATGATGTCAGGGAGGTTCAAGCCATTGGAGAAACGACCGGTTGGTCGACCTGTCGGATGATCTATCCCGTAAGGAGGAGAATCAGCACGAGCGGTGGTGACTAAGTAATTGTTATTACCACTGTCCACGAGTGAGTCGCCAAACACGAAGAACGCTCTAGCCGCGTTTGTTTGCTGCGGCATAAGAATTAGCGTTACGCATAACGCGGCCGACCATGTTAGGAGAAAGGTGGACATGATCTATATTCTAAACAGAAAGCAAAACTATTCTCCCGCTCCAATTAATGGGCAAGTCTCTCTTGTTTGTTATTATATACTATGGAAGATTGTTTTAATGACTTGCTTTTATTGGTGTATGTAAATAAATGTTTTGTCGTCGGTCCATCTACTTATGAGACAACAAAGCTGTTCATAATTATAAGAAATAAATGAAATTACAATAACTTGTCATTTTGTTAATTAGTTGTGAAAATTATAACAGACATACGGACTTAATTGTACGAAATTAGTTTTTCTTTTTCTCCAATACGTAAGACGGTGTGATATCTTCTTATCTAAATACACCAAACCCATAAGGCCATAACAAAACATAAGTTTATATAAGGTCGCAAAATCTTTAATTATATAACCTGAACCAATTATATACACTTATTTTTTAGACATAACCTGCAGGTTAAACCGAAGTCAAATCAAACCAAAAACATAGCTTGGTCCAATGTAATAAAAGATCAGCATGGCAATAAAAGTATCTATATGCCACACTTAAGTATTTGATATGAATATCTTATACTATACGATATATGTAGTTCATATAAAATAATATCTTCCTATGTTATAGTATAATTAAAGGCTAAATAAAACCAAGTTGTGAACATGATGATCATGGTAGAGCTTTTTTCAACACAGAGAAACACACTTTCCCTGAAATAGTATCGTAAAATAATCCAATTTCGTCTCCAACAGAAAGTTTCTTCAATCTAAATAACGCTTCGTCGATGTAATAAACATCAGAGTTACGATCATACCCAAACATTACATCGTGCTGGGTCGCCTTATCGTAATCGTCGATCTTGATCGTTATAGGGACTTGCTTCACTTCACTTAACTTGCCCAAGGGTCTCAAAATATGGTTCTCAAAATCGTTGTTGTTGTCAAAGTCCAACCGATCTTTGCTTTTCTCTGTTACGATCTGCCTTATCTTCCACAGAGATTTTTTGTTCTCTTCACATATCTTTTTCAAAGTAGACGAACTCGATGACTCTGCCATTTTCTTTTTCCTTTAATTTATTTCTTTTGTTTTCTGTTTGTAGTGTTTCTGATTATGTTGATTTCCTTGTAGATAGTGTGTAACATACACACATACATACATATATATATATATAATATGAGAATTTTTAGAATTAGGTGTGCGAAATCATTAACTGTAAATTAATTTTGAAAAAAAGATCTCGGATTTAATACTATTCGTCATGTTTATGAAATTGATTACACGTTATTCTATAATGTAAAAATTTGCTGTTATTTTTTTCTCGTTTACTTAATTGAAAATCTTATAAACCTCTAACTTCTCAATTACTTGTATAAACTAATAATCCATTTTTTTAATAATATACTAATAATCCATTTTGATTTTTTAAATAAATTTTGTTTGGACACGTTACACACATGCTATATATATATTTTTTTGGTTGAGATTTTGATGTTTTCCAATAATATGCATGCTAACTTTTAGAACTCTATATTGGGATATCTTACAACTTTTAATTATGCATGGACTACAATTATGACCAAAAACAAAAGTATGGACTTACTTATAAGTTTATTACTTATATTGAAATCATAAAACAATAACATTTTAATGGTTTAGTGGATATAATTAGCCTATGCTATAGTATATAATTAATTCAACAACATCAACATTTGATAAGTTTCCTTTGTGAAAAACACTCAAAAGCTCTTCCGGAGATTAATCCGGCTGTGAGAACTCATGATTTCATTAATTTTCAGTTTTGTTCAGAAAAAAAAAACATGAATGATTTGAAGTAATCTCATTCTCACCTAAAATTACGATCCATTAATCTTACGTAATAAAGGAAGGAAAAAAACACTAACAATAACACATGATGAAATGACATCTCTGAATATGATTTATCGCAAAAAAAAAAAAAAAAAAAATTGTCATAGAGAGATCTAAAAGAATGCCAGTTTGCAAGCATTTAACATTTGTGTACTCAAAATCAAACCAATTAAAAAAAAAAAAAAAAGGTTTATAAGTGGTTGTCTGTCTCTTTCGGTTATCTAAACATTCCACATGCATACTCAAAAACTCCCATCATCATAACATACCCATTACCATCATCATTACGGTACAATCATCACAATCACAAGCTGTAGTATCACTTGATGTCTTGAATGTCTCCAACTCTTAACACTCCCACTCATCATCTGTGGTTGGTTTTGAACTTGAACTTCTTCTGAAGCGGCAAGTCTCTTCATAATGAGCTTTCTTACACTAGCCCAATTCATTATCTAGCCCACTTAGTTTGTTTGGCCTCACATAGGTTCCCCCCTACTGTGGCCTGTGGGAAATCCGCAAAACATGGCGACTGGCCGGGACAATCAACTTATAAGCCAATTCGACACTTAATCTTCATTACTGTAGTATTTGTATATTTGAAAATCAATATTGAACTACTAATAAAACTTCATTATTTAAATGATAATGATTATTTCTGTAGAATATATAAGAAACATTTAATGAAAATTATAATCAAAAAGGAAAGAAAAAAAACAAACATAAAGAGAAGATTAATACAAAGTGTTTGTTCTTAACTACTAACAAAAACAATACGACCATATTAGTCCTGTATTAAGCTTCGGATTCTCTCTTATCTGTCAAAAACAGCTTTTTTCATTAAAGTCATCATCATCTCATCTTTCCATCGAATAGTTCGAGATCGTTGATCGGAATTATTTTGATTTGGTGTTTCGTGTTTTGGCAAAAATGCGACACAATTGCTGTCATGTCTCGTTCGCTTCTGTGCTCAAGATCCTCAATTTTCTCCAAGCTTTCATCGGTGTATCAATCATAATCTACTCGATTTGGATGCTCGATCAATATAACCATCACGTTCCCGTTGACCCTCCTCCGTCGCAGCCTCCGTCGGCTTCATCTCCGGATTCTTATGCCTTCTCTAGTTCAGGAATCGATTTTAACAGTGTTTCTTCTGATTTTTTGAAGAATCCGATCAGTGTCGTTCTTGGCTCTGCTGCAGATTCGGGTTTCAACCTTCGTTCCTTTGATCTTCCTGCTCCATGGTATTTAAAAAGTTTCCATTTTTAGGGTTTTCGATTCGATCTCTCCCTTAATTGACTTCCCTTGTATCATTTGACTGTGTGGCCTTGTTATACATTCAACTTTGAGATAAACAAATGAAAAAGGACAAAGCTTTAAAGGCTTGCTGATTAAGCAGAGAACATTGTTTGATGTTTGAAGGAATGTTCCAATTGATTGATGTGGTTTGGTTTGTCATTCAATGCCAGGTTCATCTACTCTTTTATGGCGATTGGGATTTTGGTCTGCATTGTCACTATCATTGGTTTCATTGCAGCTGAGGCTATCAATGGCTGCTGCTTGTGTTTCGTATCCTTTTATCAGTTTATGCATATAGACTACATGGCTTCACTTATATGCTTCTGTTAATATTTTCATTCGATTGGAATGTTTAATCCTTGATAAGTCGTTAGTATTCTATCCTCAAAACTCTTCTAGTCATTATTGAAGCGGCTCTTGTGGGATTCATAGCGATTGACCGTCACTGGGAAAAGGTGAAGGTGTTTTCCTTACAGTTTGAAGCTTGTTGTATCTTGTGTGTTGTGTTAACGGTCTATACTGGTGTCTCTTCAGGATCTTCCTTATGATCCAACTGGAGAACTCAATAGCCTTAGAGCTTTCATCGAAGAAAACATCGATATTTGCAAATGGGTCGGTATTGTTGTGGTAGCGATCCAGGTAACAAACTCAGTTCTTCCTTTTCTGACATTTGAATTATGTCATGGTTCTTTTATTGTTGTATTCATACATGAGCTGGTGTTTCAGCTACTGTCATTGCTACTGGCTTTGGTTTTGAGAGCTATGGTTTCACCCCGGCAGTCAGAGCTTGACGATGAGGATGACTTTGAGAATCCGATGAATAGAGCACGAGAGAATCTTCTTGGTCCACAGGTAAACCAGACATCTTCTGCAAGCAACATTGACAATTGGAGGTCCCGAATCAGAGAGAAGGTAAACACCTAAGTTTCTTCGTCATTTGAACTTTGTACCCAAGGGTTAAGCTTCTTAGTTGTCTTTACATGCTTTCTTTTTCTTATTCAGTACGGATTGATTAACGGTCAGAGCCAGAGTCCACCAGCTTAACTCAAAAGACCCAGCTACTGCGTATGGATCATTGCTTTGGTTTTGTTCCTCTCTCTCAATTTTTCTATCTCAACTTTCGAGTGTCCATAGATATTACACAACTATGTTATTGTTTGATGTCCATAGATATTACACAACTATGTTATTGTTTGATGTTTTGTTTCGAAAGTCTGTTTAGAATCGCAACATAGCTTTCACTTCAGCGTGTATGTACAAAAAGCGTAACGAGATTTGTGTTATAAATGGGAACAACTGCTTATTGATCTGCTTCAACAATGGCTACACAGCATTTTGTTTTCTCTCTCAATCGTTACAAAAAAATCGAGACATAAATCTTCCCACATACAAAAAATAAGCTTAACACTATCTTACATTTTTATTGAACGTAGCATATACTGCACTGGTCTCTTCATCGTGTAAAATCGATAACGGCTTCCTCTACTAGATCTTGCAACAATCTCCTCTCAATTTCAATCCCAAAGTTGTCTACTTCAACTTGTAAGCTCTGAGTCCATGTCCTCCCAACTATCTCGTTTTTTACTAGACTCTCTGCAGCCAAACTGTTTGCGTCCATGTCCTCTCCTGAGTCAAGCTGGCTAGGCTCATCTAAGACCCAGTCCTTTAACTGTTCCCACACATGTTCCATGAGGTCAAAACGTGGAGAACTATTGCCCATGCTTGTAGCTGTTGTTTCTGAAATGATGGAGCTGATACAGTCGAAAATGAGCTTACGGGTTGATCGTTGTTGTCTACGCTTGCCTTCATGGATGAACTCCTTGATGTTGTTATTATCTGGGTTAGTGTATTTCTCTCTGAGGGAGGGATCTAAGGGATTATTTGGCAAGTGCCACCGTGAGATGAGCGGGTCATGAGAGACGGTGCAACCCCTGCTGAAACCAGCAGCTGTCAAGAGCGTTTCTATAAAGAAATACCAGTCTTCATCCTCATGGACTCCCGCCATTGCGGGTTTAGATATGTTGTCTGTACAAGAGTCATCATTCCATGAGAGGATCCGAGCGATTGACCCGATTGGTGGTGATTTGTCGATTAGATTAGATTTGAGAGACATTGCCTCTGCTGTTGATTATGGAACATTTGGATTAGCGTAACAGGGAAGTTAAGTTACATAAATCTATGAAAAAGCTAAGCAATGGAGAACTAACCTTGATTCGTCCATAGCTTGGTTGACCCAGAGCATTCTGGAGTGTCAACACTTTCCTCTTCAAATGGCGGAAACAAAACAGAAATTGGACTCGGCTGGTCCTGGTTTTCACTTGTATTCCCAGCCGCTAAGGGTTTTGGTGTAGTCACTTCCTCCTGAAACCATATCAAAATGGCTGCTGATTTAAGCATGAATGTTCAAAGCCATCCTCCTTGAGTACATTGCAAAAGATTTAAAGAAATGGTGGGATACCTCGCTTGGGTTTATACTTTGCTGTTGTGATGCATCCGGAGGGAGACTATCTCTAGGAAACAAACAATCTTCACTGGTTTTCCCAGTAAGAATCATAGAAGAAGGTGTTGCTAGCTGAGACGTACTGCTGCACTGAGATGCATCTCTTTTATCCTTGCTTAATTTGGTATTCTTAAAGAAGAACAAATTTGAGACTTTCCATGACGATTTCAGGCTTCCCGTCTTAGTCAGCTCTCGTGAAGCCTGTACTTTGGAAGTCCCTGAAACAGATGTTTCTCCATTGAGTCTAACGTCAGAGACTGATTTTGACCTTGCAAGGACATTGAAAGAGTCACGTGCCATTTCCACTTGATTTAGATCACTGGTTATGCATGATGTTGACACCCTAGTTGCTGGTACTATTTCATTGCTCTCTTCCTCGGATCCAGTTGTCACTTTGGTCTCTGAGAGTGCAAGCATTTCTCCTAAGGTGCTTGAGGTTCTTGAAACATGTTTATGTGGTTGAGTTCTTCCAGTTACTGACATCAATGCCCATCTTTCAGAAAGTCGTTTTTTCGCCTCTCTACAGACAGATGACTCTGGAGAAAATGAAGCTCGGCTAAAAGAGGAAGGAGAAAAAGGACTTTCAAACCTATTTGGACAGTCCCATGAATGCCTAGAAGCTGGTGACATGATCTCTGAATCGCTAAGGTTTCCCACTAGATCTTCATTTTCAGACTTGTTAAAGGAACTGTCATCACCGATATAACCATTGGATAGGACAGAAGAAGACTGAGTCTCATTCCTGTGGTGACCCATCAGATTTTCGCGCACCTGACGAGTAATTTGTTTTGCTACTTCTTTAGTCTCAACATCTCCAGGCTCATCAAAATACCCCCCACTGTGCAAATCCCTTGGAGATGATGGGGAAGATGAAACAGCCTTTATATCTAGAGACTTCCCTAGACTAGGCTTCAAGACGACAATTCGGGTTGGCTGTACAGGGTGTTCCTCAGTTCCACGGTCGACATAAGATGACGAGTAACCCAGATCACGATTTCCCCATCCAGTTTCTTGACTTGATGAAGCCAATTTTTTAACTTGCTTGTTCTTCCTCCCTTGAACTACAAACTTTTCAGTTTCAACAGCCTTTGAAGGTCTCAATACTGTGATGCGCTTTGCCTCTGAATGAGAAGGAACAGGGTGAAAGCCAGAAAGGTTCTGCTGAGAGAATGAATTTGATTCCTGAAGAAATTCAACAAACAAATCCTTGTTGGAGCTTAAAAATTCAAGTGCATCTTGGAACTCTTTGGATTGCTGAAGATTGTTATCTGTTACAAGGCGTTTTGCTTCAGTGAACTTTTGACGAACAAGAGCCATCTGTTTCTCAGTCGTACTTTCATCATATCTTCCTTTTCTAGGCGAGCTATCCCTTGAGCGACTCACCTTCTGAGGCGACTGCCACATTTCATACACATCTTTAAACTCTCTGTTGAGATCCTCATACTTTTGGACCTCATTATCCATAGAAGACACCGAATGATTCGGCGAAGAGTATGAATAGCTTCTGGAATTGCTTCGCTGTGTAGCAGTCTCAGGATGCATCTGGGGAAGTGTTTCCAAACCCATCAACTTAGCAACCACATTAGTTGGGCTCTGTTTATGTTCAACTTCTTTTGACATTTCTCGAGCAATGAGTTTCTTCATCGGTGTACCATTTACTTTGCTAGAAGCAGTTCTCCTCAAATCACACATAATCTGTCAAACAGTACAGGCAAGAGATATCAGATGTGACCATAATATTAAACAACAAGTCGTGCAAATAAGGACAACAATCTGAATATTAAAACTTCTGTTTTGCTGGCAATGGCACGCACAATACTTTAAATTGTTTAACCAAACTTACCAGTTCAGCTTCTGAATGGCCTTTATAAGAAGGGCTTGGCATTCGGGTCACATCAGATCGACTCCTTGACAGAGAGTATCCTGCCAATCAACTACCTCATGTTAATAACACAAATAACACACAGGTGATTACAAAACTCAGATAGAGATAGATAAAGGATAACAGGACATAAAACTTGGTGCAGGAACATCTTGTACCTAGTGTCAGAAAACAAATTATATACATTTGTTGTAATAATAACACAGACTTGCATAGGGTGGACACCAGACAATAAGAATACGAATAAACAGAAAGCTTGACCAGTGAACAAGCCAGTCACTGGAGGGAAATAGGCATTACCATCACGATGGGGTTTATCAGTAAGCAACTTGTTCCCATTAACAGCTGTTCCTAGATCAAATAGATTAACCATCTTCCCCAAGCATCCTGGAACCGGACTTTCAATATTTTGACCCTTTCTGCCTCTTAGTTCATTCATTTTGGTCCCTGCAGTTTGACAGCTATTAGTTACTTATCTGGAGTTGTATCCCATCAGAGAAAAATGCACTTGGCATAGCATGAAAGGCAATAATGGTTGTTGAAGAGGAAAGAATGCAAAGATTGGCTAAAGCAGGACTTTATGGAGTCCTAGAGAGAAAGAGAGAGAGAGAATTAGAAAAGATACAAAATTTAAACCTAAAAGATCCAGGAAAAGGGAAGAGAGGGCAGAAGAACATAAAACTTGTAGCAGCAAAGAAGTAACAGGCCAAGCATAACAAAACAAGACTTTGGTAAGAAAAAAAGAAGCAAGGAGAATAAGATTCTGTAATCAGAGGGACACTTGATAGTGTCTGAACAAAAGGAAAGACAAACCAATTAGCCAAATTTCACATGACCTATCACAATCAAAGACAGACACTTTTTAATGCTTTGAACACAAACCCCTTGTGAAAAAAAACTAAAAAATCAAACTTGACTCACCCCTTTATACTAACAAGACCCGAGAATGATGATAGAGCAAACAACAATCCTCAGGCACTCTGGATCTGCATTTACAAGATTCCATCATAGTAAGTAAAATTTACCTAAGAGCTCAACTTTGTCTCTCCCTAAAAAAGTAGTAACATTGAGCAATAAATGTTAAAACTTTTATAAATCAATCCAGCCAAACAAGCTAATTCAATCAGAATTGGAAGAAAGCAAAAGCAGAAAAGAACCTAATCGGTACAGAGACAGAGAGAGAGAGGGTAAAGATCAGAATCTATTAGAAGTAAGAACAGGCAAAAGCAAACAAAGAAATCGAAACGAGAAAATAGGAAAAAAGCATTGGAAAGTGAGATCAGAGCTACAATGAATCAGAGACATTTGATTGATTCTTTTTTGACTCGGGGGAAGAGAAAAAAGAGAGACCTTTAACTGTTTTAGGAGCTGAGCTGAGCTAGCCTAGCTAGAGAGAGTAGATACATCGGAAACTTCGCCGGAGAAAATGCCGCTGGTGATGATGAAGTAGCCAAATTTGTTTCCGTGTCTCTCAAAAGCTCTCTCTATCTCTCTCTCTATATCACGCGCACACCGACTGAGAATCTCACGTACAGACAAAGAAACGAATCAAGAGAGAAGGAGAAAATGGGGGAAGTTGCTCTGTACTCTCTCTCTCTTTCTTTTGTGTTCTCCCAATTATTATTATTATTATTTTTATTTTGTTTGCAATATCTTTTCTTTTTATGTCTTTTTGTTTTTTATTACCAAACTGAATATTGGAACTGAGATGATCAAGTTTAGTAGCCACATCGGGAAATCAAAATTATTCATTTGGTTTCTTTGTATAAGAAGTTATGTTACTCACTTACTCTAATACTCTTTGACTCTCAGGTTTTGTTAGTTACGGTGAATAAAAAAATTAGGTACATATATGTGATTTTAGTGTACACAAGCTATAATAATTAATAAGTCAACATATTGAAGTATTTTAATTTTCTTTTGACATCTATTGAAGTTTTTAAATAAAAGTCAAAATAAAATAATTTAGTAAATATTGACAGTTTTTTTGTTTACTAGTTAAAATGGCAAAATCCAGTTTTTATACGACAATTTTGAGCGATTGAAATGGCGAAAAAAAAAAAATAGCAATAGCAATTTTATATCGCATATTGTATATATTTGTGAGTTTTGACACGCATAGAATTGTCCATACAAACACGGTTGTCATGTTTCATAATGTTGTTTAGGGTAAGATTTGCTAGTCAAGATCACCATTTTTGTGATGGGACAAACAACTCACATAAGGATTAAAAATTTAAAACTATATTCTCTAGTAATGATATAAGATACGACAAAATAAACAAAATTGGCAGTATGCAATAGTATTTGGAACTATTTCATCAGTGAATAATGGCAAAGACGTATGGGAGCATCAAAGCTATTCACAAGTGTTGTGAATAAAAGATAAACAGGAAAAAAGATATGTGATTCTCCAATGATTAGGTCTAAAAGCAAAAATTAGATTATGATCATATATTTTCAATCTTTTTCTACTTTTGGTTGCACGGATATATAGTTCGTCCCAACTTCACAATTCACAATGAATGCTTTGATGAAAATTTGGTATGGCCACAACAACCAAATCCTTTGCAATTTGTGCTACTTTCACAATTACTACTAATAAGTTTACTTGATAGTAAGATACTACAAGGCATTTTTTTAGTCATGTATATACATTTGCAGTTTAATGCAACAACAATACAATTACTACTATATGTTTCCCACTGACGACGAGTAGAAAACTTAATTAGCTTACTTACACAGAGAAGCAAAATAAATATAACTTGTCCTTCTCATGTATGGCCGAGAGGGCAATGGAAGGATGATCCATTTCTGCGTTGTCAATTTATCGTTGGTTATGGATATCGGTTTTTACCCATACTTTTTATTGTTTCGTGTATACTATAGTGGTTCTTTAATTAGCATGCTTTTTGAAAATGTCATTTTCCAAGAACGTGAGATAGAAATCAAGATAATGTGTAGAACATACGCAAGCTATGTAATGTAAGTATAGTAATGCAGTCATAAAATAGACGATGATACGCTAAACAAGAAGCAATGAATGGTTTCGAGCCTTGCGACTAATAAAAAGATAACGACTAGCCTACTATTATCATCGTTATATTGGTTCTACATGCTTTATTTACATAAAATCAAATTGGGACCAAATGATAATAAAAGAAAATCTGAAATGGACCAGCCAATATACTGAATCATGTAGTAATGTATGTATCTTTAATATCAGTTAATAAAAGAACAGGTAACAGAAAAGAGAATTAAAAAACATAGAGCCACAACATTGTGGCTTAATCATAATATCAAGTAAAAACACTATAGCTCTTTAACTGATGATAATATAATACATTAAATCTTTTAAATTACACATTTTTATAGATATTTAATTTACAAGAATTGTTTTCTATATACTTTGACTAAAGATGGTTACGAAAAGAAGGATGGAAGAAATATGTGGATGGTCTTTTCATAAAGATTTATATAGTACTTATGACTTAACATCTTATGATTAAAACCTAACTTTGAGTTTGAGGCCCTTTGATTGAATATAGCGACTTTATAGTGAGCGGACCCTATTGGCATAACTAAATCACTGACAAGCCATAGCACTCCACGTGACTAAAATCCACACTTTCATTATCATCATCTTCCATCCGGTTATAGGTTTCACGATACCGGTACAGCCACAAAACCATCAAATCATCATCAGGCTCATAGAATTATATAAACATCCGTTAGTTTTGGTTGATACTTGATAGGGGTTTTCGTCTTTACGAAATCGAAACAACTAGGGTAATTTACAAGGTTTATACGGTCATGTGGGTTCTATTAAACAGCGTAGCCACCAATCACATTAAGTTGGGGAACACGCCAGTTGGGTTTTGCATTTTTTTATACTAACTGTTGTCCAAACGTGTAATCTCCAAACAAGAATATATAAAGATATGATTATAGACCCATTAGTCTATGATTAAAGAAGCACAATTATTTCTCTTTGTCTGTGATGTTTCTTGTATAAGCTTAATGAAGCATTATTTTTCTTTTTAACTAATTTAAAACATTTCTTTTACTGATTACCTTAGTTAATGCCATAAAATGTACATATATTCATTCACCGTTGAATTCAAAAAATCTGTTTTCAAGATTATCTTGAAAGAATCATAGATGAAAGAAAACAGCATGGCCATTTGGGCACTAAACAATTAGCTTATGGACACAAGTAAGACAATAAACAATACTGTTATGTTGTCAAAAAATGTTCCACTTCATGTGAGTACAAACCACTACACTCATTACAATAGTCGATAGAAGACCAATCAACCCTTAATTATAATATAAGACCAATACAAATATACAATTCATAACTCGTTATAAACACATGAAGGTGCTAATATTTGAATCTCATTGTATGCGTTTGTAAGTTTTGTTCTTTTGGTAGTTGTGTGTCTCGTATTATATCGATATTTAGTGGTCTCACTAGTATTTATATACATGAACTAATTAACAATGTGGACAATCTAGTCGAATTGAGCGGGTTAAGTGATCAGTTATATGCATTACTAGTTCTCATAATTCGATCAGCAAAAGAAAGTGCCACTACAAAAAAAGGTCACATTGTTAGCACGACAAAAAAGCTATAGTATGTAATTCATAGCATTTTAGTAAATGCTATATCCGCCGCTGCTATGGTAGGTTAGACCCATATAATGGCACTATTTTTGTATGCTGTGATATATTCTTATATCATAGCAACAATTAACTGTTCTTATTTGTTTTTTAATAGCACTTCATATTTTCGTATCAAACAATTGATTGTTCATATTTTGTGCTATGATACTTCATCCTACAATAACAATTTCCTATTGTGGTAATACACTTTACTATAGCTTAACCGAATGTTGTAATATCATACTTGATCTGAAAATTTTATTATTCAACAATTGATATTTTGAGCTATAATATATGCGCGTACAATAAGTATATTAAAATGCTATACTTTGTTTTCTATAGCGTTTAATTCTGTCATTCAAACATTTTCTATGCTAATTAAATTGCTATATTTGCTATTATATATTTCTTAACAAACCCATGTCATACTACATTTTTCTTTTACCAAAATACACTCTGCTTATATATAGAGTGAAAACAGATCAAACCTGCTATCTAGAAATTAAGTCATTCATAACATAAGTTTGAAATTAACCACCAAACATATCAGTCAAGTATACAAATTCATCCAGCATACATTACAAAGTCTCAAAGCATGAAAATAGTTAGGTAGTCTAGTCTTAAATCAATAAAAACTAGCTAACCTGGACCAAGTTTCTTCATTCCCTGCAACAATTAATCAACCCTTTTTACATCAGTTTCTGATAACCACATGGTAAAATCTAATACAGAAGGACCAGCATTTTATATCAAAACTTACCTAGCTCAGTTGTGATAAATTTCAATAGAAGACCAATTTATCCAACGGCCATGCAACAGGTGAACCATGTGCATCTTTAATAATCGTCATTTCATCAGATTGCCTCCAAACTACTGCATCATCTACTTTCACCACATCAACCCACACACTAGCTGCATTAGGCCCCAAGGGAACACAATGAACCATTTTCCGTGGATCTGTTGAATGCACACGTCCTTTTGCAACAACCCGCTTCCCACCTTTGATATCCATGAACATGCACTTCTGATTCTCCTTAATAACTTCTTCGCCATGTTTACGCTGCCATGTTTACAATTGAATACATAGATAATTAAAACCATAAGCAACTTCATAACCATCTTAAAGCCATATAGGTATAATTAATCCACAAACAACTATATAACCAAACTGAAAACAATTACCGGAGATCTTCGAGTAGGAGACTGCGGAGCTAGTCGAGGTTTCTTTTTTGGAGATTTGTCCACTGCTATTTGAGACTTCTCAACTTGCGTTTTTGAAAATGCAGCTACAGTTGAGTTCCTCGAACATGTTGCTGGAGATGTGGCATCACGAGATTTAGATCCCTTTGCAGTAGATTGTTTATCTGTTGTTGCTGATTTCCGTATTGAAATTTGCTCAGTCGTCGATGCAGAGTTACAGAAAAGAGTTTTCTGACCTGTTGCATCAATGGCGTCTTCGAAGACAATTTTGTTAATAGGCCATGCTACAAAAGAGTTCAGACAATCTTCCAAGTGTGACTTCTCCATTGTAGGCTTCCATACAAATGTCTCAGGGAAATGAACCACATCCAGAAATACTTTAACTCCCTTTGAACCGATTGGAATTCCATTAACCAAAGCTTTTGGTTCTTTCGACTCCCAACGTCCTTCAGCAACAATTACACAATTTGTTGACAAATCTAGCAGTTTGCATTTGTTCATGTTATAATCTAAGCTTTGTTCCTGTCAAACACATTTTATATAACATCATGACTTAAACTCACCAATGCATGACCAGGTTATAAACCTAAATGATATGAGACAGAGAAGTAAACTTTACATGGGTATTGTCTCGTGCTTCTTGCCCAGTTTCAAGGTTAATCACCTTCTTTGCTGGCCATGCAACCATCTGTCCAACAGCATCCTCGATGGTGAACATCTTAGTCGTTGACCTCCAGAGATCTGCGAGGTACTATAGCAGTTTCAACCAAGACTTTTAAATCAGATGGGCCTAATGGACTGTCATTCACCAATTCCAACGGATCAGTAGAATATATACGCCCCTCAGCTACGTTTGTTAAAGAACCATCCTCAAACCAATCAACCAAAAGACACTTTGGTTGTGCCTTCTTGTTCACACTCTACAAAATGTATGTTAGTGAAGAAAATGTCAAACTGTAAATTAAGAAAGATCACTTACTTAATGAATGTCAAACTATTAAGTAGTAGATACAACTTCTTACTCTAGCTGCTGAGTTTTCACCAACTTCAGGCTCTTGTCTCTGTAATATGCATAAATTGAAATAAAAAAAATCATATACTAATTTAGGATTACTCATGTTCTAATATTTAAATAGACAAGTGTGTTACCCGGTCCTTGTATTTGGCAAGTTCAGATCTTAACTCATTGACCTCTTGTACTAATTTAACTTGCTGATCTTGCATGTCATTCATACACTTCAGATTCACTTGCAGACAAGCTAATTTAGTCTTCGTTATGTTTCTGCCCATTGCCCTCATTCTTCCAGGATTATCAGGGCCTAAGAGTCGTGCTAGAGAATCTGCACCTGGATTTGTTGTACTCGATGGAGAGTCACTATTAACAATCTCACTTGCCTTCTTCTGCAGATCATAAGTTAGTTGATCAAATTATTCAACTTGATAGAACAATGCCAAAAAACAAAATGATTAAAAACTCCAAAACTTACAATCTTCTCAGCAGCCTGATTATTCACTGGAGTTCCATCCTTTTTGGTACGTGATTTGATCCAAACCTTTAACCTATCTACTTCTGATGGGTCTAAACTCTCATTTTTCTTATGATATTCACATAAACATTCAAATATAAAGTGTCAGTATTTGACATGAGCTAGGCTATAAGCAGAATAATTAAACAAATCTAAATTGTAGTATACATACCATTTCTTGTGTAAGCCTAACCATTCCTTTGCGACTACAAGTATGAGGAATCTGCTTGTTCCTTCTCTCCTTGTAGCTATCACTCAGAACCTAATAGACAAATGTTAATATGTAAACTAATATCTCATATCTACTATATCACAATTCTTAGATGTTACCTTAAACTCAGGGCTGGTTTTTTGCTTCACAAATCTACGCCACTCAATTGGAGAAACATTCCTAGGGCGAAGATTCATCCTTTGTTGGGTATTATCAGCCTCAAGAATCTCTTTCACAGTGCGTGATTTTGATGACCTCCACAAACTTCCAATCTGCGTAAGGAGTGCATTCCTATGGACGTCTACATCTACGTCAAACCTAGCCTATAGTATCTCACAACAACAAACAGTAAATCATAATGTATCATGATGGCTTAAATATTTTAATTAGTGAACTGAAAACTAAAAGAATTTATCACCTGGATCGATTTCATCAGAAGTGTCTTCGAAGCTTCAGGTAGTTTTGGCCAACACTCAAGTATGATAGGAACGTGTTCTCGTGCCAATATACCTAGGTATGAAGACAGTTTCACAGAACCATCACCATAAGGTTCTCCCATGGCAGTATAATCTACATTTTCATGTTTGGATCCTTGTTAATGTAGTTCATCTTGGTTGGTCCTCGCTTTCTCTTACGATTCTGCTTGTCTGCATTTGAATTTTTCTCGAGAAACTCAAGCTCACCTTCAGGCTCCTCATCATCAACCACTTTCTCCTTTGACATTTGACCTGTATCTGCTTGAGATTGATGCTGCTGGTCTTCTTTTTCCTGGTCTTCTTGTAACTGGAGTTCTGGTTCTACATGTGGTGGCTCAACAGTACCCAAATATTCTGGCTCATCATCAATCTTCTTTTTTGTTTTTCTGTTTCCTCCCTTTTTCTTTCCACCACGAACCATCCTAATTCACCTGAAACAGAAAACATGAAATCATCAGAACCAAATTGCAGAAAGATCAATTAGACATCAGAACCAAAGTGCAGAAAGATCAATTAGACATCAGAAACATCAAACTTGCAATTAAAATAGATAGTGATCAAGAAGCATTCACACAATGATCAAACATACATAAGAAACATCAAAGGTATGCAACTAAAATTGAAAATTCATCTATCAGACCATGTCACACATCAAAGTCATGCAACTAAAACATATAATGAGCAAGAATCAGTCACACATATATTCCTTCACAATCACTCCGAGCATTTTCAGCTTCATCTATGTCAATATCCAGCTGAAGATTTGATGGTAGTGGACTAATTTCTGCAATCTTGTCTTCATCAGAATATCTTCTTGAAGACCATCTCATGACAACATGCCAACTTGATGACTCGTCTTCCCTAGAGTAGAATATTTGCTTGGCTTGAGAGGCTAATATGTATGGGTCCTTCTGAAACGAAACTTGACTATGATTTAAATTTACTAGCGTGAAACCATCGTCCATCTTCACTCCATTCCCTAACACTGCCCATTGACACCGGAATAACGGAACATAAAAGACATTGTAATCCATTAATACAATGTCAGTTATCCTGCCATAGTAGGAGACCTCAGCAGAAACTTGGTTACTGTCTTTCGCACTAGATCTACATACTGATAAAGGCTCATATAACACCCCACTATTCTGACTTTTTCTATCTACTGATATTGTTCGAAACCTCTGGCCATTCACTATGTAACCTGTATATGACCTAGCAGAGCTACGTGGACCATATGCTAACCACTTAAGTGTTTCCCCATGTTCTGTTGAATCAAGAGATATCTTCAAAAAAAAACAAAAATGTATAAGTCAGAGACATATATGTATGCATAAACGTGTCATTATAAGACATATATGAAACTTTACTAGCCTGTTCTTTTAGCCAAGCCGCAAAATTCTGAGTATGCATACTCCATAAGAATGATCCATCTCGTCTACATCTTCCATTAGTTGCCTGAAGATACTGCAGGTGCTCACTTGTAAATGCCAAAAAAACATTAAAGACTTCAGTATGTTACTAAGTTTACTAGTAATCAGATTTAAAAATATTTAACTCTTAGTGACTTACTCTACAAACGGTTCTACAACAGCCATATTCTGGATGACAGCAAGATGAGCAATATTTTTATCCATTTCGGTAAGATCAAATGATTTGCCTGTAGAGATTGGACGACCTTCCAAGATTGCATTGTTCTCGTACTCAGTGTTTCTATCCAGTTTTTCCTCCACACTTGTTGTTTTTTTCAAGAAATCAGCACAAATCTTCATGCATTCATCAGCTAGGTATGATTCAGCAATACACCCTTCAGGCTTTGCATGATTTCTCACAAAATCTTTTAGAACTTTCATGTACCTGACAAGTGTGTATCAATTAGCCAAAAAAGAAAAAGCTAGTAAATATTGAACAATGTAATAAAGACAAACATAAATTTAGTACCTTTCAAATGGGTACATCCATCTAAAATGGACTGGTCCACCTAGCCGAGCTTCCCGTCCAAGATGCATTGTCAAATGAATCATGATGTCAAAGAAGGTTGGAGGAAAATATCTTTCAAACAGACATAGAGTTTCGACGATCTCAGCCTCCATTTCTAAGATTTGCTCCATATCAATTACACGCTGACATAAGTGGTTGAAAAATGCACATAGTCGTGTGATAGCCACTCTAGGACCTTTTGGTAACAGCCCTCTTATCGCAATTGGCAGGAGCTGCTGCATCAACACATGATAGTCATGTGATTTTAACCCTCCAATCATACAGTCCTCTAATGAGACACATCTCGAAATGTTTGAGCAGTATCCATCTGGGCCTTGAAAGTCAGACAAACGCTTACAGAAAGTAATCTTCTCAGTCTTGGACAGGTTGCAAGGTGATGGAGGAAGGTATGTTCGTTTCCCAATAAGTTTAGCGTGTAAGTCCTTCCTCAGACCAAGCTCCTCCAAATCTTTACGAGCAGCTAGACCGTCTTTCGACTTCCCACCTTGCAATAAAGTAGCAATGATACTTGCAGCCACATTTCTCTCCACATGCATAACATCTAGGTTATGCCTTACTGGAAGCTCCTAACCAGTACACATAGTAAACAAAACCAAAATTAAACAGAGCATGATTGATTGAATATGAAAACGTGTTGACAATAGATTATACCTCCCAATATTGTAGACTGAAAAAAATTGATCTTTTCTTCCATCTGGATAACTCCTCTGCATCCACTTCCACTTCTTCCTCTTCCTCATCTTCTGATTCACTGTATTCATCCTCAGTATCAGAACTAGGTTGAGTACAATCAGACCTTTTTCTCTTCCTTGCAGATTTTTTCAAATTCCCAAATTCATTTCTGAAATTCCTAAGGTTTTGATAAATTTCTTGACCAGTTAAAATACGACTCTTTCTCCTATTCTCAATCTTTCCATCAAACCACGTCTTCTTTCCACGGAAACTTTGATCTGGTGGTAGATGTTTTCTGTGACACATATAGACATGCTTTCTGCTATGCTTAAGCCACATATTGTCGGTGTTTTTTCCACACATTGGACAACCCAACTTGCCTTTCACTTTGCATCCAGCTAGATTCCCATAGGCTGGAAAGTCACTGATCGTCCAAAGCAACATTGCTCTAAGAGTAAAATTTGATTTACTGTACGCGTCATACACTAACTCTCCCTTCATCCACAGCTGGTTGAGATCATCTATCAATGGTTCTAAGTAGATATCTATGCTATTCCCTGGCTGTTGTGGACCAGGTATCAACAGGGAAAGCATTATGTTATCCTTCCTCATACATAAATGAGGAGGCAAGTTATAGTTGACTAACAGAACAGGCCAACAGCTGTAATTGGTATTTTTCATATTGAATGGATTGAATCCATCAGTTGAGAGTCCCAGACGCATGTTCCTCTCTTCAGCTGCAAAGGATGGATATTTGTCATCCATCTGAGACCATGTGACAGAATCTACAGGGTGTCTCAGTTTTCCATCAGTGCTTTTGTTGTTGAAATGCCACCTTAGATCTTTTGCCATTTGCTCGGATCGGAACATCCTCTTCAGTCGAGGGATTACCGGAAAATAGCGCAATATCTTCTGTGGCACACCTTTTTTTACTGCACCTGTTTGCATGTTGGTCTTCCATCTTGAGGCTTTGCATTTTGGACACTTATCAAGCTTCTTATACTTGTTTCTAAACAAGCAGCAGTCATTAACATATGCGTGAATCCTTTGATAACCCATATCAAAGGATTTGAAAAACTTCTTCACATCGTACAATGAGGAGTGAAGCACGTTCTCACTGGGTAACATGTCCTTCAATGTTGCTAGCAGCTCGTTGAAGCTCTTGTCAGACCATCCATTTTGAGTCTTAAGTCTGAACAAGGATACTATAGCTGACAACTTGCTATGATTTGTACATCCTGAGTACAGTGGTTGTTCAGCATCCGCTAGTCTTGATAAGAATTCATCTCCCTTCTTAGTAGGATCATCCTCGTCAATGTTATCGAAATTACCCTTACTAACAAAATCTTGATCTAAACAAGCTGCAGCTTCATACAATTCAAAAACCTCATCATTCCACTGCTTCTCTTTCTTTTCACCTTCACCAGCTGAGTTAATTACTTCATGATAAAACCAATCAGTTCGAATCTTGTAAGCCTCATCCATGCCCTTCATTACTAGATGATCGACTACAGTACTGCCTAAGTGACGAGCTAGGTTGCGACAGTCAACACATGGACATATAATCAAATTGGCATCTCCCAAAGCTGTACTAACAACTCTCACAAAATCTGTAGCCCCTTTCTTATAGGCAGGATCCGCTCTTCATAGCATAATAACAACAAAAACTTAATTTGAAAGACTCCATAAACCAACTGATACCTAACTAGCTAACATCCATAGAAAATACCATACCTCCGAAGGTGCACCCAGTCCTTGGCCAATACCATATTTTCTAACTTTATATAACCTTAATTTATCATAATAAAAGCATAGAAAAGTATAAATATAACAGAAAAGAAGCATTGCATATCAGAACCAAAGAGAGATGCATCAGACAATCAAACACATAACAAGATGCAGAGTGATTACAGCATAATAAAAGCATTTCAAGACTATATCAGAATTAATATCTATTTCGGTTAATCACTAAAAATTGATTATTTAAACCAACTTAGTTCATTTTATGACTATACAGTCGCTGTTTGATGCTTATAAACCATTCTAGATAGCTTGAAACTTTAAATTAACAGATTTAAAAAGAAACACCATCAATTCAGAACACAGTTACCAAAAACATAGGATAAGATGAATATAACAGAAAAAGCATTGCATATCAGAACCAAAGAGAGATTCATTTGATAACATCAGACAATCAATCACAGAAAAATCAGCAGGCTGATTAGAATAAATTGACATACTAATCATGATTAAAGCATATTGTACTATTAACTGACTGTCTAAACTAAAACATTTAATTTATATAATGACAGTAACAAAAAAAAAAGAATATAACAAATGCATTGCAATTTTAGCAAGTATAAAAGAAGATGGTACTAACCTGTCAAGCGATAGAGCAGAAGAAAACTTCAATTTCCCATTATTGTACTCAGCAATGCTTGCAAAAAAGAAAAACCACAAGTTTCAGATATATAAGTACAATATCAAATTATAATGAAAGGTTATAGGACAGAAGAACTACAAGTTTCAGACAACACAAATCTTAAACAACACAAGTCTCAGACAACACAAGTTTCAGACAACTCAAGTAACCACAAGCTAGGTTCTATATATATATATATCCAATAATAACAGTAAAATATGGAGCAGGCACATAGAATTGTTGTTAAGATCAACACTGAAACCAAATTCATGCAGCTAAGGACGAGATCACACATACATAAATCCTCAAAATTGAAAATGCAGCTAAGAACAATCACACAGACACAAATGTTGTTTATTACTTTGCTCCTCTAATATAATATTTCAAATGTTGTCTTGCGAGTACTAAACATATATTGTCACTTCAAACTTCTGAAAAGATTCATCTAACACCTATATAGTTACTCTATAGGAACCTATAATTTCAAAATCATATCAATCTTGCAACATGAAATATGATGAAATCACAAAGGCTTAGTTCCAACTTTCACTTTATAATTCAACATTAACTTAGCAATATCTCATATTTCATTCAAAATGCCCGAGAAGAAAACAATTCTCGGACAGTCACACAGTCAGAAATGCTCAAGGAGTAAAAACCAAAACTAACTGATGTAAACTACTGCATTAGCAAAGCTACACCCTAAATCGAACATGCAGCTAACGCAAATCACTTAGAATGTTGTTTATAATCTGGGATTATAGATCGAGAAAAATTTGAAAATCTGGGATTACGATTAGACAAATCGACCAAGTAAAAACCATATACAATCAATAAATTTAGGGTAGATCTATTGTCGCACAGAGAGGTTGTTTACACTAATCAATCATCTCAATTTGAAGAAAATAAATCAGGTTACGAAATACCTGCCTTCGATTTGACTCGATGACGACAGAGAACGGCAAAAATAGGGTCCCGACGGATGCAAAGCTTGACCCTTGATTCAACGGCGGCGACGGCGAGGGTAATTGATGTCTAGGTGAAGGGATTAGAGATTTCGTCGAAATTGGAGGTGTTAGGGTTTGAGAGAGTTTGAGAGATTTTGAGAGGGTTTCGATGTGAATAAGAGAAAATTAAGTCTAATTTTCGCTAAGTTACTTGCGGATTAAAGTGATTTACTTTCCCGCTTACTGTAATAATAGCATAGCATTTATAAAACGCTATCATAAAGTAACCAAATTTTAAAGACATCTACGATAGCAGTACTGTAGAACGAGCTATTATCTTATGCTATCAATGTGAAAGTTTTTTGTAGTGTGCTAATATAAGTTTTGGATGTGCGTCTGTAATTGAGGTACTATGTTACACATGTTAAGTGGTCTTGGTGGCTAAAACAAGAGAGCTATAAATAAGGATCTCATTTACAAGAAGAGAAGGAAACGCATGTACATATATACATTGGCCAGAGAAAGAAAACAATCGAGGGACAACTCAGAGATAAAATCATTTGCAACAAAATACAATATTCTTTGAGAAACTCTGGCTTGGATAGAAATTGGTAAAAAAAAAAAAAGTAACGAATGTGAAATATGTTTTTTACCTATCTCTAAGATATGTTTTGGGCTAATCGATTGTGTGGTTACTGATTAATTATAACGAGAATGGTTATGGATTAAGTTAATTTTAAAGATATCTCCTTTAAGAAAAAGGAAAATTGCCCAAAAAACAAAGGAAAACTCAATATTTACTTTTTCCTCGTATGATTTCATTTAAATGGCTCAGTCTATAAACGTGAAAGTGAAACAAACGAAATCTGAAATAAGAGTAACCTAATTCCACGTCATCACATTATCCTTAGAACAGATATGTGATGTACACGTGGCAGATCTCGAGTGGAGGGAAACGATTCGTTTAACCCAAAAAAACATCATCTTCCTCCTTTCTTCTTAGCCTTTCGAACATATTACCACTACTCTTTACTAACAAAACAATCAAGAACCACTCTTTCGTGTCGCCAAAACAACAAGAAAGAGAAAACAAAAAACAAAGATGGCGATGGCGTCAGCATCGACGGTGTTTGTTCTTCCGGCCAACGTCACCGCGGCCGGTGGCGTTTCTTCGTCCAGGAGCTCCGTGTCTTTCTTGCCCATGAGAAGCGCCGGTTCTAGGCTCGTAGTCAGAGCAGCCGATGAAGCGGCTCCGGCAACCTCTTCGTCTACAGATTCTCCGGCAGCTGCTGCTCCTGCTAAAGCTGCTCCCACCAAACCTAAGCCTCCTCCGATTGGCCCCAAGAGAGGGTCTAAGGTCAGCCAACCTAAACCGTCGTAGCATCCACTATTTATCTTATTTTGCGATTTTCTAGGCTTTCACCAATTACACAACTAGGAGGAATCCTTTGCTGTGAAATTGTAACTTTTGCTGATAATCACTTTTGCAAATTTTATTTGAAGTGACAAGAATGATAAATATCAACCACATATTTTTGCTCTTAATCAATTGTTTCTTGCTTATTACTACCAAGAGATAAAAACATTATGACCGAGAGTTGTATCTTAGTGGCTTGTTTTAGTGCTGTCACAATGTCATAGCATTGGTACAAATCTAATGTCTAGTGATTGTTTGTGTGACTTGTAGATGAATGATGATGAATGATCCTTTTGTAAAATGTGGGAATCTTAATTTGATTAGGAGTTGCGGTATCTAATATATATTGTTGGGGTTTCATAGGTCAAGATTCTAAGGAGAGAATCCTACTGGTTCAAGAACGTTGGATCAGTTGTGGCTGTTGATCAGGTAACACATTTAGTCTCATATCAACGATTGAACTGGTCATATATATATGTAATATCATTCACCTGGCAGGTTTTTATAGTTTTTTTTTACCCTGGTTATAATATGTGCAGGACCCTAAGACTAGGTACCCCGTTGTGGTCCGGTTCGCGAAAGTGAATTACGCCAACATATCGACCAACAACTATGCATTGGACGAGATCGAAGAAGTTGCAGCTTAAATGAGAGAAATCAAAAACTCTCTGTGTATTCTATACCATTCTATCAGTTTGTAACTTGACCCAAATCGTATGTACCCAAAAGTTTACCAATTATTTCTCCTCATCTGAATCTCCAGCCAGTTTCCTTAGTTTTTCACAGAATGTATTTGGAAAATTCTGTTAAAATCTCATTCTACTCAGGTTTAGCTATCTTAACCATCGTCATAAACATTTTGAAACCACTCGGTAAACACCTACATACTCGAGATTGTCAGACTTCGATAGGTACACCGGGATCATTGATCACAATTATCGTAATTCCAAACAAAATTTACTACAGTAGTGAAATGATAACTTTGAAGTCATATCTGTTCATAACTACAATTTATAAATTTTGTAAGAGACTAAAAGACATATAAATTTTTTATCCCTACAGTTTTAGAGTATTTACACTCTACCATCCATACCATCAAGAAGACCGGTCCAGATTCCCTTTGCTGGAGGAAGCTGTGCAACGAAGGCTTGCCATGGAGGATAACCCACTCCACTTGCCCTTACACGGCCGTCCAACCGCAGAGACAAATACCTAAAATCAACACAATTCTGAGTCACAACTTGCAAAACGCGGTTTACACTGTCGAATTTAATGCAGAAAAACATTCAGATTCAGCTCAAGAACCGGTGCAAGATTCAGTTTAAACCGGTTTCAAATTAGATGCAACGAACTACTTACACTGGAGAGTCTGAAGAAACATTAGCAAGCTTCTTTTGCGCATCTAACCACCTGCTCATGCAAAACAACAGAGTCAAGGACACCTTCAAGTTCGATTCTTTCAACTCTGGTTTCACTATCTTTATGTAAAGATTCTTACTTTTCCCATTCTGGGACAAAAACTGGAGTCACCCGCCATAATCTCTTCCTTCTCTGGCTCATTTCTTCATCCGCAATGTCAGTCTCATCGAAATCCAAAGCCGGCGAATTCCCATCCGTAGAATAAGCTACCACAACCACACCTCTCTCTACAAGCTCTTGTGTAAACTCTTTACTTCTCTTAAAGGCTTCTTCAATAAACTCCGCAGGGCCAGCGCAGATGACAAGCCTAGCAATCCCTCTCAGATCGCCAACCGAGATAACCTTATTGTTCTCTTCGACCCTCATTTTGAGTTTTGCAAGATTTTCTTCCCTGGAGAGCCTAGCCATTTGTGCATTCTTGGTCTTGTTTTCCCGGAAGTAGAGGAACGCAAAGAGAGAAGCTGCACCAAAGTCAATTCCCAAACCCTTTATGATCTCAAGAACTTCGCCTGATCTAGCCGGATTCGCAAGGGCACCAATGAGCCTAGAAGTGGCTATTAGTCCTCCTAATGAACCACTCGCTATAAAGGCGAGGTAGAAAAACATACGGACTGATCTGAACGGAGACAGAACCTCACTACGGATTCTAGCATCAGCACTGAAAGCATAAACAGAGATAATGTATCTTCGTCATTATAAGCAAAGGGTTTCGTTAAAAGTGTCCCAATTGTAACATTTCACAGAAAAATGGTAGCAACAAGAGTGAGGTATGAACACTCTTGCAACTAAAGTTTCAAACTTGCATCAATCTCATTGACCATAGAATATTCCAAACACTTAATTGATCCAACAACAACAACACAGATAGAATCCAAACCCATCACAGCCAATTTAAAATAGGTTACTAGAAGTCTGAATTTTACCTGATTTCGGAAGGGTCGTCTGCAGCAAAACACACGGTGTTGAAAGACAAAGGTTGATGCTTTCTACTTATTGTCAATCTAGGCGTCGAAAAATCAAGTCTTTCTCTGTTATTATGATGACGGGAAAATCTACAAGGAGAGTGTGATTCTTTTGCCTGATAAAGAGCTCGTTTACTCAATCGACAGTGGTATATGTAAGTTTGAGACCAGACCAGCGTAGCCATTGGTCTCCTTAAGATTTTCTGAAACTTCCTCTGTTCAGAAGATGACTTCTCCGTTCACCATGGATCATTTTTGTTCTCTGTATCGACCTGTGATCCTAAACTTGCCACGCTTCTCAGCTTCCACATATTATTTTTTCTTTTTGGGATTTTTTGGAATATATTAGGTAACCTTTTTCTTCTTGTTCAGTATACTGTAGTTAGTAATTTTAAATTTCACTTTGAAGGCTTAAAATTGCCATACCAAGACCAAGAGGCAAGAGTGATGATATATAAAACAAAGATCAACAATTACATGATATAATCTTTTATTTTAATTACTTATTGTATACAAATCAAGGTTCAATGATGATAAGTAACGAAACAAGGTTCCAAAGCTCCCCATATGCAAAATCTCCAAACCAATTTCATCATATTCTCAGGTCTGACCGTTTTTACCGTTGGCTTCAGCTAACATCAGTTCCAGATCTCCTTTCCTGTTAAGCTTCACTGTATCTGTAGTACAACAACAACAAGGCAATGCCGAGAATTTAAGTGAAACAACACCCAATATTAAGAGGACAAAACACTGGGAAGTCTCAGAGAAAGTAGAAGGAACGTGTTCTCCTAAACTGTGTAAAACCAAGAGGCGAAGGGGAAGGAGAAATTACCTGTGCAACCACCAACGTGCTTACCCCCTGGTCATTAGGAAAAACAAATTAGACACTGTTATGTATTGTCATAAATCGGAAACTATCTTGTTCACTCCTTCAGAGCATATAAAGGTTTTCATCTTTTGAAGCAGGAACTAAGGAACACAGTATTCAGTGAAGATATGATCGATGTAAGCGGATTAAAACTACTTACCGACGAAAACATTAGGAACAGTGTGTTGCCCAGTAAGTCTTTCCAGTACCTTTTGCAGCTGTGGCCCTTGTGCACCTGCAATGAGCCAGAGATGGTTTAGTAATACAGAACTAAGTATAGAGTAGTGATTCTGCGAGAAACAAAGGCAGACAAGAGTCCCCAAAAAAGTAAGTTTCTAACCCAAAGTCCAGAAACAGGAGTTACAGAAAAAAAGATATGAACCATTTGAATCTGAAAAAACCAATTGAAAGGTAAACAAGACCTCAATTCTTTCAACGAGTCTAAATGCCACAACCTAAACTAGATCAGTAAAACGCAAGTGAAACCAAATCCAAAGGATAGAAGGCAAATACTAATGGATACTTCTAAACATCTAATAAGCATTATTCCTTCATCCCCTTATCTACGGTCATGGCATAAACTATAAGTTTAGTATTATCATAATCAAATCAATTAACCAAGCTAAGCTGACCAAATGTATGAAAAAATAGAAGATGTAAAGCAAATGTAGACATACCAAGTTCATCCAATTCTATAACCAGTGGCTGAACCCCAAGTCTCTTGAACAATATCTTCACTTCAGTACAGTATCTTCAAAACAACACCAACAAACGTATGTTTAAAATTTAAGCAAAAGAGTCATAATTTGTGATGTGAAAGGTCAACAGAAGACATTAAGATCTGACAATCAGCAAAACCCATAAGAAAAGAAGTAAAATTTAACAAACCCATTCTTCAATTAAGCAAACAAAGAAGAAGAAAAATCCTAAATTTAGATAATCTAAAAACTAAAAAACTGAAAATAGAAAAAAGAGAAGTGAGAAACATACGAGCACCAAGATTTAGAGTAAACAACAACAGTGTTCTCAGTCACTGTTTTTTTAATGTTCTCCTCCATTCTCGATCCGAAGGAAGCAGCCGACGAAGATGAAGAAGACATGGCTCGAATTGAAACAGAACATGTCTGTTTTAGACTTGTTCGCTTAAGAGGAGATCCGACAGATATCAGAGAGAATGAATAAGAAGAAGAAGAGACAGAAGGAATCGGATCTAAAAACGAAGACGCAAGTTTCAGTGAGTTGAATGCTGTGACAGCCATGGCGAATTCTGACCCTTAAGATTCTCAAAAACTCAAAAGACAGATTCTTGGAGCTTCTTCTTTGCGTGCTGCTAATTTGTCTCCGTGACTTGTCCCTTCTTTTTCCATTTTTTTTTTCTTTTTCTAATTTAAATCTTAAAAAAAAAAATACCTGAAATTTCGTGAACCAACAAAAAAAAATCTGAAACTCAATGTTATTATTCTGCGGGATATACTATACTTAGTGGGCCTTTAGTAAAGGCCCTTTAACTATTACTAATGGGTTTTTTTCTTTCTTTTGTAGCACAAAAAAAAAAAAAGAGAAGAAAAAAAAAATTAAAAATCGGTTGAACTCTGACTCTAATAAACTGACTTTACGAGAGTTCATTTCAAAGATATGCGACAATTAGGAATTCTAGTGTGATGCTTATATGAAAGCATAGACTCAATCATTAGCCCCTCTAATCACAGTATAAAACTTTCAACCACCATTGCTTAGTGAATCGATATAAATTGTTGTGGGTTTATCTTAATAATATATGAAAAAAAACATTTCAGAGTTTTTAAGTTTTTCCATATATTTTTTTAGTTAAACAACATACGTAAATCTTGTTAGAAATCTCACATTGAAAGTATAATCTGATTTAAAGAAGAGAAACAAAAAAATGATATAAATCAAATTACTTATTATCGGTTAATTTTAGGTTTGGAGTTCGTGAAATCTACATGGTATCAGAGCCTTAACTTATGTAAAATAAATAATCTCTAATAACTCGTATCTTAACTAGAATTATTATCTTTTTCCTTGTATTGGGAATTTAGTATGTTTGACAAGTTTTTGTCATTTTACACTTAATGACGAATAACAAAATTCGTGAGCAAATTGTGTGATATAGAAAACAACTCATCCATGGACCTACCTTGATAAGATCATGTGGGGACTTTTGACTAGTTGTAATGTCATGGGTTCGAATTATGTCATTGTTGCTCAATTTGTTTTTGTCTATATCCCACCAACATTTTCTTCATTCATTTATAGCCCAAATCTTTTGTTGCATTGACATACAAGAATCATACATGTATATATGCACACATACTTGATAAGTACATGACATATGAAATATTATTATATATACGTGCACACACACATAAAATAACTAACTTTAATTATATAAACGATTGTATTAATAAAAACTGACTAAAGGAATTGGCAAGTAGTACTCTCATTTGTACAAGTTCCTTGTGTTGTCCGTGTCCATCCATGTGGATGTGTATATATGTACTGTATATGTATCCAATCTTTGAAAAAATGAATATCTAAATATATATATCCAAATATTCAAGTATTCAAGTATTTAGGTATTACTTATTAGTTGAGAATTCCGAACATTCTCTATCTATCCAAAATTTTCTACAGATGTTCAATCTCCTATTAAACAAATTAATATTTGTATAAGCTTATAAAAATCTAATAATAGAAATGTTAATTTGTTTGATAAAGAAAACTTATAAAAATCAAAATGTATCTCGAGCCGGATTGGAGCTAAAATGCCCATACTACGTAGATGTAGTCTGTGTGGGGTTGCAGGTACATAAAAAAGCGATATAGAGACATGGGTACAATAGTGTTCCATTCGAAACTTAACAATCCCAATGATTAAATCCAGTACATTCGAATTATTTCTCTTCACGTACCTATATGGAGTAGAGAACTAAAACTATGTAGAGTATATGTATATTTCTATTTTATGTATCTGTTATATGGAAAACCCCTTGATGAACTTGTATAGTAGTTACTTGTTCGAGTAGTTGTTCCTACTTCTAGAACATACATATTGATGTTCTCTTTTATATGTTAAACTTGGAAAAATCAGTTACGTAAATTAAATTTTCAAAGATTGTTTGTGGTAAAATGTAAGTGTTTGTTGGTTTCTTCTTTCTTGTGTTTAGTGTGGAGGAATATTTTTGCTTTCTTTCCGCAAGTAGTTCATCTAACAGACATAGGCATGTGAAAGGAGCAAACCCTAGTTTTTGCAGACTTCGGTAATGTGTATGATATATATGGACAAATATGGGCCCTTGAACATGAGTGATCTCTCCATTGGAGAATTTGTGACCATTCCCATGTGTTACCCATTTACTCTTTGTCACTGACATCTTCGAAGCAAATTAATCATCTCAAATCATTTGACCCATATTTACATGCCTTGTATATACCATTCGAATGTAGATGCGTCAATTAAGATCTAAACACCAAGATCAAAACGGTTTTAGTTAGTTTTTCTAATCTAAAAGGTAGTATTGGATAAGGTGTAATCGAGTTTTTTTTTGTTTGTTTTCGGGGCGAATTAATCCCATAATCAAAGTATACTAAGAAATTTGTAAACATAATTACTTGGTCGAGATCATTCAAATTGGTGTGATTGACAAACTTTAAATCAAAAGTCGTATAAAATCTTGTTACGCAATTTCAGAAAAGGTGAATGACATTGTGAATGTAAGTCGACGCATATCTACCTATATATGTGATTGATCCCTAGCTAGCTAGCTAGGTCTTCATGATCAAAACACATAACTAGAATATAAGATGATACATATCTAGATAGGGCTTTTGCCAAGGTAATGAAAATAGATTGAGAATACGTGTGAATATGAGGTGACAAGTGACAAGCATGGCAAAAGAAAAGAAGAAAGCAAAAAGATAATGGTCACTACTCATATTCAAACATCTCCCAATCTGTAGTTTCTAAATAGGTAACATGCGGTGAGGGTACATAAGGCTAGATGATCACTCCTCCATGGCCTTTGACATAGACTTCACACGACGTACATGCATTATACTTCCAAGATATTATAGACAGCTCCAGATCAAGTATTTTGTAGGAACTTAAAATTTACTATATATGGAGCTAGTTATATATATATATATATATATATATATATATATATATATTCTTTTATCTTATCGATATAACACATCTACTAGAAGACATTCTATTGTGTATTATTCAATATCTATGTAAATTGTATCAATAGTTTTTTATAAAACCTTTATATAATTTTTTTTTTTCAAACGTTTGTCGAATTTGGCGTGTGATCATCTATCGACCATAAATCATTTAATGACACGAAAAATCAAGATGCTTAAAATAAACGCGTATGATACATGAAATAAACACGTACAATACATATAATATTACCACATTTTCCTTTCAATTTTCCATCAAACAGGATAATGTTTTTCTCTAGAATAAAATGGGATAACTGATATCGGAATAAAAGAAAAATATAGTTATATAATAGGAATATGGAATTGTTATAAATTCTACTACAAATCAATATTCAACAATAATAACAATGATAATAAATGTACAAATGCTGTGGTCGAAAATGGTTTGGAACTGCTGGCTTTTATCCTTTGACGTTGGACATAGGCCGATCTACATTTGATGTGACATTGTAAGATCTCTTTTATTAATGGATTTTAAATCTAATTCATTGGACCCAACACATGTGGGTTTTTAATGTCATCACAAATTTATTCACTTTTTCTTTTGTTTTTTCCCCTCAGAATTTTCACTATAATTAATATATTATGTATCTATATATATATATATATATATATATATATATATATATATATATATATATATATATACGTGTGTGTGTGTATATTTTAGTGTTTTCTTCTCTGTGGTTTCGAATTTTCGACCAAATGTCCTCTCTAAATTTTGACCAGTTGTTTTGCTTTAATACTATACTTTAGAACAGCTTTAAACTATCAAATTTATGTTTTTCAAATTTATTAGTAATTAAGTAACAATATACTACTTTAAACTTAGTATAAATTGGTAGTTTGGAAAAGGTCAGTTAAAAAAAATCCGAAGGAATGGTATTCTTTTTATATGATCTATTTTTTGGTAAGAACACATAGCATTATGGTTGAAGATGCTTTTAGATGAGTGATGAGTCCTAACTTAATCTTAGAACACTTAATTACCTATTTAGTTTCCGTGTAAAGCGGGAAATCGATGCATGAACCATGAGACTAATAATTTCCATTAATGACTGAATGAAATGTTAAGTGGGATTTAATTTATGTGTTCTGTTAAGTAGGTTTAATAGCCTAATTAACTAATTAATTCAACCCATACAAAACACCTAGATATCACATGTATTTGAGAAATGAGAATCATCTTTAAAATTATGTTTAGACAAATTTAGTTACACAGTTTCCATTTATTAATTTTCCTTTTTGGCCAATAATATATATACACATTTTTACAGGATTTGAATTTGAATGGTAAGAAGACTACAGAAAATTATTTTGGTACATGAAATTCAAAACAGTTAAAAAAATAAAAATTAAGTGATACAAACCAAAATTATAATTTCAAAAATAATTAGAATAAAGTGAAGCTGTATATCAGATGAAATAGTGATTGTGTGTATGTATAGTTGTGAGTCTTATGACGGCCTATGTTTGTGAGCTTTTCGTATATTTTGCTCTACTCTAGGTTTGTTGGGTAGTTCATTTTCATTTTAATATTCCGATATCTTAAAAGATTTTTTAAGACACTTTTAATGAGTTTACCATTGAACATGCTCTAACCATAAAAATCACTACGAGAGTTTTGTTTTCGATTTCTTTCATTCTTACAGCACTGAGAGTTCGTTCATGTGAAGTATTCCCACATACCTAAATTAATCAAATCAATTATTTGTAAAGTTTTTCCTTTGCACTACCAGAACTTTGTTAATGTGTCATATAATGTCGCATGTTTAAAAGGTTAAAGTTATTTAGCAATTCCTTTTATCAGTTAGTTTGGCATTCCTTAATCACCTAAAAGAGGGTTTCAGTATGTTTCAACAAGGCCATAGTAGAACTCGAATCCGCAACTCAGAGTTTCATCATTTAATAAACTACTGTCCAAAACATGCTTGTTTAATTTCGACATGGTCTAAAGAGAGCTTCTCCGATACATGAAAAGTAATAGAGCAGGACAAGACTACAGAGAGATTGTTAATTGGAATCAAAATATTTTTGGTTTAATGAATATTAGAAAAGTGTATACAATATAGAGATGTTACCTATGTAAAAATATGGAAAACAGACTTGTACAAAAAAATCAAAGAACCCACCCCCAAAAAAAAGTTAATTGTTAAAAGTATAAAAGAAAAAAAAAAAGTAAAAATAAATAGAAAACAAAAGGCCACATCTTCCTCTGTTTACACAAAGCGCCCAAAACAACAAGTGGAGGAGGTAACAAAAAACACATACGCACAACACCCTTTTGATTCGGTTCGGGTCTTCAGGAGAGGGCTCTTCTCTTTTCAGTGATCTATCTCTGTCCTAAACTCTAATCTTTTTCTTTCTAAAGTTAGAACTGTTGAGAGATACATCTTCGATGAGAAGCCGTTGAGCGTTTCGTAGGTTGTTTTGTTTCTAGTTTCCAAACAGAGCCTATGTCTTGTGCGATCTTAACCGCATCCATTGACGCACCTGAGAGCCCTTTCCTCGTAAACCCAACTGCATACAACCCTGTCCTCCCTTTCCAACCGTTGTTATCAGTTACTGTCTTGGGGAAACCATTCTTGGCAAAGAACTCACTCTCTTGTAGCCAATATGGGACGTTGCTGCGATAACCAGTAGCGAGAACCACTGAGTCCACGTCTAGCTGTTCTCCATTGACAAGTTCGACTTGGTTTCCGTTAAATCTTTTGATCCCTGGAACCACATCGATCTTTCCTGATTTGATCTTCTCCATAGCTCCGATGTCAAGCACGGGTGTTTTGCCTTTCACGCTCTTTAGCTCCATCGGACCCATCTCGGGTCGTTTCAACCCGTACTTCTCGATGTTTCCAAGCACCATCCAACTCAGAACTAGTAATATCTTGTCGACAAGCCATAGAGGAAGCCATCTTAGCATCTTCATTGCAAGCTCGAACGTGGATTTACCCATTACTTCCCTCGGCATCACGTGAAGGGAGCTTCTCACGACCATTGATGGCTTAGCGAGATGGTTTGCGAGGTCAAGTGACACCTCCATGCCGGAGTTTCCACAACCGACGACCAAAACTTTTTTCCCGGCGAATTTCTCGCCGGACTTGTAATCACAAGCGTGAATGACCTCGCCGGAAAACTCGGAAAGCCCCTCGATCTCCGGCATCACCCTCTCCGCATTTTCTCCCGTAGCCACCACAAGCCACCGGCAGATATACTCGACCTCCGTCCGAGTCGACTCAGTGTTGGAGACGGTCTTGACTCGCCACAGCCCACTAGTCTCGTCGAACCTAGCGGTCTGGACACACTCGTTGAACTTAGGGTTGATCTCGAACCGTGATGCGTAAGACTCAAGGTAGTGGATGAACTGGCGCTTGGTCGGGTACTCAGGGAAGTCCTCGGGGAAGGGCATTTTGGGTAACTGACAAAACTGCTTGGGAAGGTGAAGCTTGAGACGGTCGTAAGTACGTTTTTGCCATAGAGAAGCAATACAGTCAGCTCTCTCGAGAACAACGAAAGGAACGTTTTGTTCATGTAGACAAGCGGCCGTGGCTAGTCCCGAAGGTCCAGCTCCGACGATGACAGGTCCATTGACCCAAATACACCGGTTAGTCGTTGAATCTTGATCATGATCCATCAGACGAAACATACTCTCCATTCTTTTTTTTTTTCTTTCAATAAGGTTTCTTTAACGAGTTTAGTAAGAGAAAGGATTTGTAAAAAGAGAGAGAGATAGAGAGACAATGAAGATTATTGGAAATGGTATTGAAAATGGAATGAAGATAGTGTTGGAAGATTATGGTGCTTATATAGAAGAATAGATCCCATGTGGCGTTGAATATATTTCCACTCGACGATATTTATTTTTTAATAATTTTTATATTATAGTAAATATATAATCATTGAGCTTCTGATATTTGTTTTTTAATTTTAAAATAAGAATAATAAATAACAGAGCATTTGTGAGTATGATTGCTTAGAGTTGTAAGACCATGATTAACGGCAGTTGCTTAGGTTTTTCTTAGGTAATAAACAGATAAAAATTAAATGCTAAATCATGTAAATATAGAAGAGACGTATCTTAGTTAAGATCGAAATTTTGCCTTAAGATCGGCCATGTGTCATTCTGTGATAGGTCGAAGAAGAAGAAAAAAAAAAGAGAAAAAAACCACATCGATCGTTCTGCGTTTTCTCGTGTATCTCTCTCTTTCACCCAAGTGCTGTCGTTGGCGACGAAGAAGACGAACACAAAGCATCATCCGATCCACCGCCTTATCCGTCTTCCAGCCGACGAGACAGACCAATCTCACCATCTCCATCGACGCAGATGTCCACGACGACGAGGAGGAGGTGAAATCGGCGATGGAGAGATTACATCAGGCGAAGATCTCCAATTATAGCTCAAATCGGAGTTAATCCTTCTCATATCGGTATAGAACTGATTGAATCTCCCTCTGCTTGTTAGATTTTATGTTGTTTGATAAATGACTTGTTTCTCTGTAGATTTAGGCATGAATTCGATCCGATTTACACCTGTTGATCGACAAGATTACTTCCATGGTTTAGTAGTATTGTGATTAGTTTTTGAGTAGCTATGTCTGTAGCTATGTCCATTGGTAAATGAGAAGAGCTTTTTAGTAACAAGTCTATATCTGCTGCGCTGCAGTTTCAAATGATTAATGGCCGACTCCAATGTATTAAACTTTGGTGCAATTTTCTGCAGATCATGATTCGTGCATGAGGAAATAGTTAACCCAGAGCTGTGCTGTATTATAAAGTTGAAGATTATCATGAATTTGTTGGCTCACAACTCCATGTATCTGTCTTTGTAAAGGTTTCTCTCTATCACTTTGAATTTTGATTAGAACCAGTTCAAACAATTTCTTGTTCTTCATCTCGTTCTCTCTTTATTTTGGTCACCATCCTTCTTCTTCTTCTTCATCCTCTAACTCTACCTGGATTTCTTGTAAAGCAGGAGCCTCAACTTTGAGTCAAATGAAGATTCGGGTAAAGCAAACTACAATCGTGAAGCCAGCTAAAGAAACACCTACACATAGTTTATGGCTTTCCAATTTGGACCTGATACAAGTAAGGTTTCACATGGGCACACTCTCCTTCTACAATCTTTGTTCTTCCTCCAATCTTCCCAACGGTAAGTCCCTCATCGATGCTCTCAGCAAGGTTCTTGTCCTCTTCTAAAAACCAACGGTAAGTTCCTCATGTTTGTTTGTTTAGTAGTGATTATTAGCAAAAGATTGTAAGGTTTCTTTTGATCTGAAAATGTGCTCTTTTGTTCTTACAGTTTGAGTCATTGTTTGTCTGTTTGTCTTATAATTGTTTTTCAAAGTGCTAACACATGGTGTTCTGTTTGAATGCGAGGCACAAAATGGAGATACATCACAAATTGGAAACCTCTATATATGCAGAGGATAAGCAACAATCCGGATCTATGCTAATACATTGTGCTCTGTTTCATCTCTTTCCATGGTATTTCATATTATTTTTTTCCTTCAGATTTAGCATTATTCTACTTTTATTTTTCAGTGTTTGAACATCATGTTATACTTTGCAACCATAGTTGATCTTATCTCAGATTTTGCATCATCCCCTTGTTTATGATTGATCTTATAATTTTGTATTTGGTTTCCTTCTTACATAAAAGCGTGAATGAGTGATGTTACGATGAAATATATATATGGTAATAACTTGTATAAGTAATAGTTGTATACACGTGAGAGTTGACTTGTACATATGATAAGTATTTTTGGCTATTATACACGTGACTTGTACATATGATAAGTATATACACGTGAGAGTTGACTTGTACTTGTACACAAGTAAAGATGCAGTGGTGGGTAATGAGCAAAGAGGAGAAGCTTTCTGGAAGCGCATAGCATCCTATTTTGCAGCTAGTCACAACTACAAAAGTGTACAGCAGCAATTCGTATGCTTGCATATGGTTGTGCGGCTGATGCGGTAGACGAATACCTCCGGATTGGTATTATTGTGCTTTATGTTATTTATGTATCTTATGTATGTTTAAAAAAAATAATTTGCAATAATTATTATGTTATATAAAATAAAAAATTTACAATTATTTAAATTTAATAATTTTTCTTTTAAATATTTTTCCCCCTAAGAACCAAGTTAAGAGCCTACCAATATATTGACAAAAAACTAAAAACCAAAAAACAATCACTTAACTCTTAACTTTTAAATTTTAATCCTAAAATATACCTAAGAACAAAAGCTAACAGCCTTCCATTAATCATGCTCTAAGTGATAACAAATAATTAAAAAAGGCTAATGGGGTGTGTGTGTGTGACGGTTGAGCACTTGTAAACAGTAGTAATGCTTGACGACGAAGTTTACTACTTAGTAATATTTTTGCCTTTTTTTGGTATTGGGAAATACAAATTTCTACCGACCATTTTCGTGTGTTGCTTACTTACTATTGGTCATTAGTATTATTATTAGTTTAATTACATCATTTTAAGTAAGTGACATTGTTTGTTGCAGTAATTATCAAAGAGAGGATGTATAATTAATTAATGAGGGAATGAAGGGAGCAAAGACGTAAACGATGGTGACTGTTAAGAGAGGGACCCCACAAAAGGAAGCCACGTGGGGAGGAAGAAGATGACGTGGAATGGGGAAGCCACGTGGAGAGGATGAGGGAGCTAAGCTGTTATATATTATTTATTTTTCTTTCATATTGTGTTATATGTGTGGAACCAAATGAATAAATCCACATCAACCCCATTCCCTTCAATTAAGCTTCTCCACTATTATTATTCTTTCTTTTTTTTTGGTCCCGCCATCTCCACAATTTTTCAATATTTTTAAACTAAAATCAAATCCAATTATTAGGTACGGAAAATGTTATTTATTATAACAACATAATCCTCATATAATATGTTTATATATATATATATATACACACATATATTCTTCTTATCTATTATTATACTGAAGAAAAAATCTCATCTGTTTATTTCAGTTTGTTAATTACTTCCAACTAATAAAATATTCAAATTGTTTGTTCAATGTTCAAAAATTAATCAAGACCACATATAAAAAAAAAGATTGATGGGATTTTTGTCCCGTATTAAAATCCAGTTAGGATTTATTGACATAGGCCTCGATTGGTAACCATGATTTAGGAAAAAAATGAGAAGGAATGTGACATTCCTCTTCATTCCTCAATTTTTTTACCATTTACAAGAAATCATTTTTCCACATCATTTCTCTACATTCCTCACAAAATGAGGAACAATAGAACAAAAATGTTCCTCCCCAAAATTGATGAGGAACAAATGGAACAAAAAAAAGAACAAATATTTAAATTCGTTTTTTATTTTAAAATAAAAAATTATTTATTAATAATATTTTAATCTCATAATATAATATTTTTCATATTTTTATCATGTATTGACATTAAAAAATATTTTTGATATGAATTTCATGTTAAAAAAGCTTACTATACATTATTTAAAATTTGTATGGATAGTAAAACATATTTAAGAGATGTTTATATCATAAATAACAAATAAAAAATTACTATAATCTATAATAGGTTAATATAAATTATTAATTTTTAACATTAAATATTTAAATTCATTCAAAAATATATTTTAAAATTAGTGTCAAATTCATTATGTATAAATTATATCTAGTATTATTATTAAAAGTTGATTTATTTAATCAAATATATTATAAAAGATAGTGTTATTGTTTGGTTACCATTTATTATTTTGTTCTTCTCTGCATGTTTTCCTTTCATTACTCAAAAGTTGTTTATTCCGTTCCGTATTGTTCTTTTTGTTCTTTTTCCTTTTGTTCCTCTAATGGTTACCAGTAGAAGCCATAGTAATATCATTAGTAACTAATTTATAGTAGTTGAATGTTTTAAAAAAGGAAAACTTTCCGAGTTTTGAAATTAGGGTTAGATTGTTTTTACTGTGTCTTTAGTTATGGATGATGATCATTCTAGACACTTAAAAATGAAATGAAAAAGTATTAAAATGTTTGCTTCTTGTGTACTCCAAATCTCAACCTAAAGAAGTATCAAGCTTACTTTTAGTCTAGTGTTTTCATATTAAAAATTTAAATTAGGCAATAGAGCCCATCAAACATAAAATATGTGATAGGTAGTAATAGTAGTATATGATTAAGGAAGCCTTTTATTAGGTTTAATAAAGTTGGAAATAACACGATTTTTAGCTTTTGTAACTAGCTAATATGCTAGCCAAGTGATGGTGACTAACTAAGCTACAAACTTAAAGATCTTTTTCTTCTTCATTGGTACTTGTAATTGCTATTGTAAAGTGCATTCTTTTCAATGTAATCAAACAAAAGCGACTCGTATTGGTGGCTGGCTGTGAGTTAAGTTTTTGAGTTTGTCAAAAGAAACTTTATATATATTATACTAGTAAATTAGACGATCCCACCAAAACCCACTAGAAAAGGATTGTGGGAAGAAGAAACCTAAAATTAGAGATGTAAAGCCATGTGCATGGAACCTTGGTTTCCATGGAGACTTCTCTTCTTTTCATGTCATAACATTTTGGAAGCTTTGAGTTTGGCATATCTAGTTATCTACACATACATTCACATACCCACGTACACTCACCAATATATGTGTATTTATATGCTCAAATAATACTAACGAAAATGTATACAACTCATTTATTAATGTTATTAGCTTAACCAGTTGAAATTGTTATATTCATTCATTCTTATTACACTCATCATGATCATTTGTCCCGAGAAACTATAATTCTTATAGAACTTGACGTTATTAAAAAAATGCATATGCATTCACCTTTTTCATATAGTATATATTAGGGTAAGCACTTTGGGATATGGGTTGGGTTACTAGAAAAGCTTATTAGGTATGAATCAATGTATTATCATCGTGCATGAGTCACGACCACTTATAGTTACTAACTTTTTTATTTATTTTGCCTTTTTCTAATCACGATAAACGAGAGATGTACCAAACTCTTTATTATAATTATTAATTACAGTATCAATGTGTTATAATCGATAATAACCATAGATTCAGAAAGACTTAATTATTTGTGTGATAGAGAAAGAGCGAAAGAGTGGTCGATCTCTCACGAATGTTGATCCCTTTTATTGTACGATCCTTTTTTGTATACTTATTTTTGGTTTTTGTCGTTGGAGTTTTGTAATGACTTCGTGTTATTTCATAGGCCAGCTATTCTCCTTTCAATTTTATATGCCACTTTCATCCGAGGACATGTTCTATTTTAGTTTAGAGAAAATAAAGTTTAAAAAAAAAACACTAGCTAAATATTAAATAAAAAATTAGAGTATGAATTAACATATATATATTCAAGCTGTAAAAAAAATATACGTAGCTTTTGTAGTTTGTTTGTAAAAATATGAAATATTTGAGTCTTTCTGTGTAGTAATCTTCGTTTATGCATGCATGCTTATATAGCTTTTTCATCTCGATATAGTTAATCTGATTTTAAGCTATATATATTGCCTATATTTCATCTTAAAGTGTTCTTCTTTTACTAAATTATATTTGCGCAAATAATGATTAACAGATTTGTATTCATGCATTTTATCTTGGTATATATGTTAATGTCTTATTGACTGGTGAACATAACAAATTAAAAACTCAAACTTTTGGTTTTCTACTCGAAACAGTGACCTCTAACAAAATTTGCAACCAATAACTCATAGGTATATAACTATATAATATATATATATATATCAATATCATATAATGAGGTTGAAAGAATTAAAGCAAAATTAGTTAGAAATATATATCAAATTGAGTATTTAGCATAAATAAATATGGAAACAATGGGGATAGTCACGCGTAAAGAAAAAGAGAGAAAGATGAAACGAAATCATTAGGATACGAAAACGAATCGTTTCATCACAATTAGGCGTAAAGTGAATTTGCAGCTCATTCGCCGCAGAAAGTTTTTTTAAAAAATTTAGCTTAATTATTTTTCTAATCACAAGAACTTATATATATAAGCATTTTCTCATCGTTTCCTACAAATGGCGGTGCACTCCTATCTACTTCAAAGTATTACTATATTATAAGGTATTATAACCTTTACGGTTGGTACGTATTAATTAAGTTCTACTTTGTGGTTTGTGAACTTATCTTTAATTCCAAGTTTATTAGATACTTACAACAAAACCTTACAATAATCTCAAAAATATGATTTCATAAATAAGTTAATTAGCCACATATAATACGTGTTGTTGACTAAAACAAAACAATAATCTGCGTAACTAAAGAATTTT